CCCCCGCAGGGAGGCTGCGGGCGGGCGGGCAGCTTGCCCGGGCAGAACCAACATGCCGCGTACCAGCGGCACACAAAGCGCCGAGGACAGCGAGTAGTCGTCCGGCTTCCGCGCCAAGTGGTTGTCGAGAGAGAATGCCATGGCGGGTACACCCTGAGCGCGTCGGGGGGGTTGCGTGCGTGTGCGTGTGTCTGTATGTATCGAGAGTAGGGGAGAGTATGGGGGTAACAATATGCTCTGTCAAAATGCACAAGTCAAGAGGAGCATTAGCTGCCGTACGAGTCTAAAGTGATGATGAAAATGGGTTGTAGAGGGCGGGAGAAAGGAAGTTTGGGTGGAGACGCGGTGAGAGTGAGCGACGCGCAGTGTGTGTGTGTGTGTGTGTGTGTGTGTGGCCAGGCCAGGTGGTGGGAGGGGAGGAGGGTTTCGCAGGCGGCCAGGGGCGCGGGGTGCGGAGGGGAGAAGGGCTACGCGGGGTGTGCTGGATAGGCGGCGCGGCAGGCAGGGAGACTTCATCCCTTCAGATCTCCGCCCCACGATCAATATCTAAAAGGTTCCAGCCATGCCCTAAGTACGACATGTCACTGCATTGGGGCAGGGAGGGCCCCCAAGGCGCGGGATCCAGCAGGTAAGGAGGGGGGCTTGCAGTGGCGGTGGTGGTTATTGTTTAAGAGGGGTAGGTGGGCGGGGGTTGGGTACGTGGGTACGTGGGGCAGTACGATGTGTTCCTGGAGATCGGGGCACAAGAAGGCAAGGAGCAGCTGGGGTCCCCCCCCCCTCCCCTCCGGGGGGATTACGCACCTCTCTCTTTGAACCCATCCATCAAATCCCACACGCGCCCCCCTGTCCCATACCCCCCCCTCCATAATTCAATGGTTCGCTTCTCCCCCCCACCCCGCCCACCCCCCGACCGGGGCCCCCTCCCCACCTTGCACGCCGCCTCTCTGGCGGCTCCCACCGTGCCGCTGTAGATGACGTGGAGACCGCAGTTGTCCCCGCGGTTGATACCGCTGAGGGCCAGGTCGAACGACACGTCCTGGGGAACGGAGGGGGAGGGGAGAGGCGGGGAGTTAAGGGGGGGTGATGGAGTCGGAGACCAGCCCTGGGGTTAAGTTGCCAACCGCCGGAGGGGACTGTGTGCTAGGGGAAGGGACAGGAGGGGGATAAACGCACTCACGGGCGAACCCAATCACGGGATGACACCTCTGTTGTACACCGTGTACGACGGTGCGGTAGGTTGGTGCGGAAGTACTAAAATCATGGTCGTCATAGGCATGTTCATCGCCATTACCATCACCATGATGATCACCACCGTATACACACACATACACACACACGCGCGTGTAACGCATTTCCTCGTTGCGCTAACAACACCAGTACCCAGCAGCCAGTAACGAAATCCTGGAGGAAGCAAAGAGCACACGGCGGTGCACGGGTCCGCGTGCAGCACAAAATCTTTGATCAGGAGTTAAGAGAAAAAAACGTCTGTATGTAATTCGCAAACTTACCTAAAATCGCTGAAAAACTGAAACCCTCATATCCATTTTCAATTTTTAGTTTTCAAATTGTAGCAGACCTTAATCCATTTAATTGTTAGACCTCTTTGCAACGTGGCAGTCTGTCTGTCGGTCTGTCATCCCGTCACCCCGTGACGGACAGGCGGAATAGCGGGAGGGGAGCGCTGAGGATGAGGTTTGCGAATGCGGGAGAAAGCGCGTTGAGCAGCGGGAAAAGAAAGGGAGGAAGAGACAATAACCGGCTGCGGCTCAAGAGCAACACAGCCGTGAATGCGGGCCTCCCTTTTTTTCACGTGCACCGCTGAGGATTCCGAGGGTGACAGAGGATCTTCGGCGAGTGGGCTGTGATACCCGGGCCGACTGAGTCACTCAAACCGCCAACGGCATTCAAACCGCGAGTGCCGAAGACCCATGCTCGACCGTGGATTCACTGCCACCATGCGTAGGTCTACAGCTAGCTGGTTTGAGTTGATGGTTGGTAACATAGGGGCGGTGCGCCGATGTTTCTGCCACGCAGGCACAAACAGCGCATTTCTAGTGCTGGTGGTCACCATCCCCATCTGCAAGCCAAATGCCTACCTGGAACACCGGGCTGCACAACGCAAGCATCACACTGTCTGCTGGCGTGCCGTCCACGGCGTAAGCTTCAACGATGCCCGGCGAGGGTTCGGCGCGGACGCAGCTCATGTAGCGACCAAGTGTAATGGCATGCGATTGCGCCGAACGCTCGCCCGAGGGCGCGCAAACGTACACATCCGCAAAATCTGCCTGCTCACCACCAATAGGATTGGATATAGGGAGTTGGTTTGGGGCCCTCTGAGAAGCCGCGTGTAAGAACGGGCGCCGGCACCTTGACGATCTCGGCGATGAGTGCCTTTATTCCTGGCGCATTAATGCCATCGTCATTCGACACAAGAATTCTTGGTCGGACCATGATGACTGAGCCTTGCAATAGGTTAATGCGGTTTCGACAAGGAAAAATCCGAAAGGAACGGCGCTGCGCTGTAGAAGTTTAGTCAGTCATTAAAATTCAAAGCGCCGTCGACAACGACCAATTCTTCGACGAATTCTATCCTTTGTGAAATTTTGCGCAGGCAATGCGTGAGTTTACAACGCGTCGTACTCGACTACAGCCCTGCATAACGACACAGCAACTTCCAAGCATGGCAAGTGACATCAAAGGATTTGGAAAATGTTTCCCTAACTGACAAATGCCACATTATCACGTAAGAAATCATGCCAGTAACTGAACCTGCCAGTAACGGCACAAAAACGGCTTGAAATACGACAAAGCAACCTCAATCGTGACGCAATTTTCTCTCGACCCGCAGCAACTCACAAGTCCCTCCAGTGCCAGAGCCAGGCATGGCCAGGCATCCCATTAACCAGCTATTCAGCGGCGGCGCTACCAACCCGGCAATCATGCGACTCCCATTCCATCCCCATCTCCAATCTGTCTACCTCTCCTCAATCTCTCCCACTCGAGGCTCTCTCAGACCACACAAAACGCAACCCAATCACTGCACCGCTAACCGCGCGCCCACCCAACCACCCACCCAACCAACCAACCGGCCACCAGCCGCCTGTCAACTTTCGCCCGGTGACAACGGCCCTGAATATGACGCCAGCACCAGCCAGCCAGCATGACTCCACAAGCACCACACCTCCCCGTACATACATACCGTACGGAGGACATACATACCCAAGACACGGCGGAGCCCGGGGACCTCCCGGGGGTTGACGGTGGGGTTGGGGTTGGGGGATTGACATCACATACGACATCTTGACATGAAATAACCCTCATAGCATGCAGGCACATGTGGAAAATCTCATTTCGTACCACTGTACGACATACAAGACGGCAACGCCTTGATGATGCCGCCAGGCGAGGTAGGGCCGGGGGGATGCGGGAACTCCAGGGATGTGGGAGGGCGGCGCCGCCACCTGCCGGGGCCCCACGTATCTTGGGGCCCCCCATCCGCCCTTGTGCACCAACCCCGTCACTGGCCGCGGCGTACGACAACACATGACGACACACGAAACGAAAAATGATAAAAAAAAAGGATTAAATTGCGCTAAATGAAGTGAACTCTCATCACTCTGGCGGCTCGCCCTTTCACATCCCGGAATCGGCCGCCAAAGGGCCGAAGCACATAAAAAACAAAACGACCTCTCTGCCAGCTACTACTGCCAGCTACTACTGCCACCTGCTCGGTGGGGTTTCCCATGAAGCCACGAATAAGCCACACATGAGTGAGCGCGCAGCATTAACCAACGGCTTTACCGACTGCAACGATAGTAAAACCGTCACATCCTGCCGTACCCACTGAACGTCCTGTACTACATGGAAGCTATCCCCCGCACCGAGCCGCATCCCAACCGCCTGGCTTAGCTCCGAACGGCGCGACTAAAATGCGGTCAGGATTCATGGGGACTTAGCCCGGGGGGGAGAGGGGGGAAGGGGGCTCCCTCACACAATCCCGGGGTGCACACTGGGTGGCCAAGGGCACGAGTGGCACCGACCCACCGATGCAATATTCGGCACCCCCACCGACTTCTCTCCACCACCGACTGCCTGCGGAACGTGTTGGAGAAAAGCGAGTACAGTACTGCCCCTTCCAGGCAGCAGCAGCAGCAGCAGCAGCTAGTAGTGCTGTGCAGCGCCAGCACTCACCCGCTCCAAACCCTCCAAACGAGGCACCACACACACACGCACAGGCACCACGCACACATACACGCACACACACAGCGCGCTAAGCTTTTGGCTTTTATTAACGCACACCTTATCACTAATAGCTAGTGTGCCGGCAGCTGCGCATTCTCAGGGGAAGGGAATGTAACTGCCGCGCGACGTGTGTGTGTGTGTGTGTGTGGCCCTTTCTTCGTAATGACGTGACGCGCAGCCCCTGCCAGCCGCCCCTTTCCAGATGACTGGTGCCGTACTGCTGGTGCCGTACGTGCTCCTCGTACATCCTACCCATCACCTCATTCCCGCTACTAACCCCTCAGAAACACCATCAGTCGGTCAGCAGGCAGGCAAGCAGCTAGCCGTCAAGCACAATATAGTCGCGGACCGGAGACTTGGCGACACCAGAGCATCACTGCTACAAAGGAAATGACATTCGCTCTGAAACACACTCGCACTCACACTTGCAGTTACAATCGCAGCCGCACTCATGGAGAAGCTTAACTGTAAAGTATGTATGTATGTTTGTTTGTCAAGCCTAGTTGTCATCTGTGGAGAGAAAGCATCTCCGGGGGCACAAAACCCAAATTGAGAAAGGCGGCCAGCGGGTCGCATCCCGCCTCCACGTACGACACATACACCTCATCTCCCGCGCCCAGAGCCCGTGGCTCGCCGAAGCTGCTGCTCTTCACGAACGCGTACGAGAGGCCGTCGAGCTCGTCCACGAAGCCATCCGCGCGCGGTGCGCCCTGCCGGTGGTTGCAGAGGTCAATGTACGGCGCCAAGGCGATGTCAGGGTCACGACCAAAGGACCGAGAGAACACCTGGCAGGGTCAGGGGGCCCGTAGGGGGAGATTTCAGGGGGGCTTTGACGTGCCGTGTGGTACCGGGTTACCGTAATTGGGTCCTACGCCGCTTGTTAGGCGCCAAGATGCTCTTTTAGGTTACCCAAGTTGAATTGTTCGTCTCACTTTGGCTTCAATTTGGTGTGTTTGGGCATGAGCCGCGACCTGGCGGGTTTATCCTTGTACCAGATCTGAGGAAAGTTGCGAAGCTAGCGACCGACGACAACGCTTCCCTCCCGTCCCCCCTGCCCCCCGGTCAACACCCACCTCAACCACGCAACCCCCCAACATACGAGTGCAGATTCGTCTCCCCTCAATCCCAACACCAGTGGTAGCTGCTCCGCAATGATGCAGCTCTTGTTGTTGTTGCTGCTGTTGCTGTTGTTTACACTCTAAGAGCATTACTGGACTGGAGTCCAACGGCGGGGTCGGCGGCCCATCATTGACCCCTACCGGACCCCACCGATGAATAATAATTAGAGGGGTGGCCATTACAGCTTGCGAGGGGCCCCAGCGCCCCTCCGCACCTGGCCCAGAGCCCACGTGACGTCATCCACGGATAGCTCAACGGGAAGGTGCTTGCCGTATCGCTGTACAACATGTTCCGCGCGTTGATACACACCGCGTCGCGCCACGGAAACGGCTTGCTCCCAGCCTTCAGCTCCTGGGCCCACCGCCGCTAGCGCCAGCCTGAGGTCTTGGTCACTGAGGGCCCAGGCGCATGGCACAGCGGCAGGAAGGCTGCGAATGTATGGTGCCCAGAAGGACCGGTCGCCGCGCTGCCGCTCTACGGCTAGCAGTAGGGCTAGCTGAACAGCACCGGGGAGCTCTTTGCGCCAAAAGGAAAGGCCGAAGCGCTTTGATTCCAGGGGCTGAAGCAGTTGACGTGCGTGGTCTGTTGTCATATAAAGGAATTCTGGCACAATGATGAGGGGCGTGGCTCGCGCGACCTCGATGGGCAGGGGAGCTGTTGTGATGACGCCGCGGCAGCCGCAAGGCGCGTTGTCAATGGTTCGCAGGGTACTCCATACAGCACCACCATGGTGATGTATCCACGTGCGAAGGGAGACATCGATTTCGTCCAAGGCGTAATCAGCAACCACGCCGTGCCTGACGGTCTCGACCAAGGCCTCCCGTACAGCTTTTACTTTCTGCAAAGGTTCACTTCTATACCCAGTTGTATTGCATTTGGGAGGTATGCGTCTAGGTATCGCGCTTGGGAAGGGTGCTTTCCCTGAAACGTGGACGAGGTCACGCATATGTTTCAACTGTGCGAGATACCCTTCTTTGGCTTTATGTAATGACCATCTATAACCCCACGCTGTCGGTCCAAACTCATTTGGGGTGAGTAAGGGAATGTACGACTTTCCCTTTTGACCTGAATCCAATCCTAAGCAGCACAACCGCGTTTAATTGCGGCTCAATCTGGTAGAATTTCATTGCTTTACATTGGCGAGAGGACCAACGCATGCAAGTTGAGCTTCTGACTTGATAAGCTTCAGAAGCGTTACCGAGCTGTAATTCCTCTTCGGATATCAGGTTCAAATAATAATGGCATCATCGCAGCTCCTTCAAAGGCATAAAAGCTTGGCATCACCAGCGCGCAGTCCGCAAGCGCACGCCGCCCTGCTGCGTCCAGTGGTCAGTCGCCACGCGCCCTTCACCGCGGCGACATGGAACAATGCACCTGCTACGAGGATCTCGGATCGCCTCTGGGGTCGCCGCGCGGAGCTTTCGCGATTGGTGCTCGTGCGCGCCGAGCAGTTGGACGATGGCCGGACGCCAGGCCACCCCTATCCTTGGGAGGAGGACTTTGACCTGCTGAGCGACAAGGTCAAAGAAGTGACAGACGAGCTCACTAAGGACCTTCGGGGCTGCAACATCTGGCTGGTAAGAGGATTTCCCGCCTGCCGGCAACACATAGGATTGCTGCTCCACCCCCACAATGCCACTCGGCGATTAACGGATGCGCATGGTGGTTGGGGTGGTCGGAGATCATTGGTGCATCCAAACGGCTTCCAGGGGAGGAAGGAAGGGGGCTCTGTCTCGGGGCGGGATGTTGCTCCCGGGGCCCGGGCCCCACCAGAGGGTTGCGGAACCACATCGGGTTCACCTGAGTGCCTTCCAGCGACTGGGCCTGGCCTGGCCTGCCGTACCTACCCGGCAATATCCCGGCCTTACCCGAACGGCCATCCCCTTCTTCCTCCTCTTTATCATGGTCATCATCATCATCATCACCACCATCATCATCAGCATCATGGTGTGGCACTCTGTACTGTTAAAACCTTCAACTCCCGCCACGCCCGCCCCCGGTTCCCGACCTCCTCTGGGGCCCCCGTCCGTCTGTCTGTTTGTCCGTCCGTCCGCACTCCCTCTGTCCCAGATTGGCATGATGGGCAGCGGCAAGAGCACCGTGGGCAAGATGCTGTCCAACACGCTGAAGTACGCCTTCTTCGACACGGACTCGGTGATTGAGCTGGCGCATGACAAGAAGCCCGTCAGCCAGATCTTCGCCGAGGAGGGACAGGAGTACTTCCGGAACTGCGAGTCACAGGTGGGTGGGTGGGTGGGCCCCAGCGGATGATGATGTGGTATGATACCTACCTGAAATCGGAGTGCTGGAACAGGAAAATGCTGGGTGGGTGGTGAGGGGCTGCGTGTGGGTTGGAAGGCAACATGACTCACACACGTTGCACTGTGTTGTACTTGCTAGCCGGCCGGGCCGGCGGGGCTTGGTCGCCGGCAGGCCTCGCGCCATACACACACATACACACGCACACACACATACACACACACACGCACACACGCACACACACACTAGATGACCCTCGTTCGCCGCACGGGGTCACACCCTGCAACTTAAGAATCACCCAGAACCTACAAACAGACATACAAACAGGCAGACAGTCAGTCAGTCAGGAAAAGACCTCGCAAACTAAGCCACACTACCTACCCCGCCCATATGCAACCTCCTCGGTTGCCCCCACATGACAGATCATCAAGGAGCTCTCGCCCTACCGCAATCTGGTCATCGCCACCGGGGGCGGTGCCGTACTGCGTCCGGAGAACTGGGGCTACATGCATCTGGGCATCGTGTGCTGGCTTAACGGTGATGTGGACCTCCTGGCTCGCAGAGTGGTGCGTGACGGCCTGGAAAAGCGGCCCCTGCTGGCAGCAGCATCAGCAGCAGACGGTGGGGGTGCGGAGGGCGGTGGTGCGTTGGGGGTGGCGCGGGACAAACTGGCCGCGTTGCAGGAGCAGCGGCGGCGGTACTACGAGAATGCGGATGTGGTGGTGACGCTGGAGGGGTACGGCAAGGATGCGGAGGCCGGCGCGCCGACGGCGGCGGTGATGTACCGGCTGTTGAGTGCTATAAATGAAAAGGTGCAGGCGAAGAAGCGGGAGCAGGCGCAGAGGATGAACTTTACAATTGAGGGGGCGGAGCAGCTGAAGAACATGCGGACGATGGAGAGCCCGGCGGCAGCGGCAGCGGCAGCGGCGGCGGCGCAGGGGGAAGGAGAAGGCCCGGCGCCGACGGCTTGAGGGGGTAGAGAAGGAGGAGGCGGCGAAGGGCGTGGGGGGGGGTTTGGGGTTTCGCGGCAGAGGGGGTTAATAGTTGCGTACGGTAGAGAGGCCGTGGAGCCTTGGCGAGCTAAGGGCGTGAGGCGTGTGCTGCGATGAAGTGTTATGATGTGGACGGAGAGGGATAGGGGCAGGGAGTAGCCGGTCGTAGCAGACGTGAGCGGCGGGGTAAGAAGCAGGCTGTGAAGGCTTCAGCTCGAGGATTCCATGTGCAGTTTTTCATACTGACAGGAACGGTCTGCAAAGGTTATGGCCACGACTTTAAGTCGACCTTGCGAGCATCAGCTGTATTCCTGTCCTTTGACTGGTCTAGAACACCGGACGGTTAAGCTTTCCAACCAATCCATGTAAGGCTAGAACTGCGCCACGCTGTCGGCGAATCGTAATTCTACAGACTGTAAACTTCTAAAAGATGTAATGAAACACGCGTTTATATACCACTGTTACTTATAGGCAAAAGAACGTGTTTGAGCTATACATTGAAATGCAGACTCTTACCTTTCTCGCAGCGCTGATGGCGCTTTTTGTCCTCGTACGCTCCTCTGAGGTAAGCGCGCTTCACTTGCTTGGGGAACAGTCGCAATACCGATAGGGAAATGTGGAAGTCACTTTTAACTGAACATCAGGCATCGACTTGCGCAACGACACTACCATCATCAAGCATGCCAGTTACATCAGTTCTAAGCATAATGATCAGGCAATATGCGAGAATTTTGCGCCGGGAAGGGCCTGGCCCCGTCGAGAACTTTGAAGCTCCTTCCTCGCGTCCATGTGCCCGCTCCGCAGCTGCCATACGGCGGAACAAATCAACCCAAAGCACAAAACCCCGGTCCTACCTTTACCCTGTCCCTCTTTCTCGCTCCTTCCCCAGTTCACCACCACGCAAGCCCTCATGGAGGAGCGCAACGCCACAGGGGAGTACTCCTGCGCCTGGCCGCGCGGAGGGAGACGGTGCTGCGGCACGCTCCGAAACCCAGGCGTGGCGCATGGTTGGCGAAGTGACGAGACGGATCACTGCTTTCCGGCCTCCGCCTCAGATCACATGGTCTGCTGCGTGGATATTCAGGTACGGCAGGCAGTACGGGGTCGCACAACCTGTCCAATCTGCGGGCATAGCACCGCAAGACAATGCCTACGACCCCAACCCGCACTCGCCAACCATGCACCGCCTCTCACGCCACGCCGCGAAACACACACGCGCAGAATGTGGACAATGAGTACAACGTTGACGACCCCTCCGTGGCGCACCACAACCCGCTGAGTGGACCCATCCGCCGGAACTCCGATTCCAGCTCCTACTCCTGGTGAGGGAAGAGAGGGGGAGGGAGAAGGGGAGGGGGAGGGAGAGGGGGAGGGAGAGGGGGAGGGGGAGAGAGCCCATGTGTTTGTGTTTGTCTTAAGGGAAGTGTAGGTGGTTGAGGTGGTGGCTCAATGGCAGCTTATACACATCCTTGTGGGTAAAAGCGGCGCCCGGAGAGATGCCAGAGGAGGCGCAGGTCGCTGTGGGGGTGCTGTCAGGCTGTGGGGGCCCCGTGCCGCAGGGTCCGGTACCCCTGGGCGTACCCTGCCTCCCCCACCTCCCTCCCCACCGCGTGCGTGTGTTCGTGTGTGTATTTCAGGTTGGGGCATTCTTTCCCGCCAATAACACCGCCCCTTCCCCGCGCCCACCTCTCTCCACATGAACCCCCCCTTTTGCCAGGTGCACTTGCTCCGAAACCATTTGTGAGAAGCAGCTCAAGGGCCGTGTGGCCTGGGTGGGGCGACCAGGACGCACGTGAGCAGCGGCCGGCAGAACACGGGATGGAGGTGGTGGTGGAGGATGAGGGCCCGGCCCCTCACGGTTTGGCACATCGTACTTGGACCTCAAAAACGAAATGAAAGGGGAGGGTGCCTTACGGGGCGTGGCGTCAGGCGGTTGGCGTGTAGTGGTTCCGGAGCCAGTGTGCCCAGTCAGCGGGGGGTCCCGAGGGGTCGCGAGGGTTATGGAACCCCGTACAGCGGCGAAAGGACCCCGGTTTTTAAGAACGGGTAATGACGACGACAACAACAGCAAGTGGAGCTGCATGAAATCAAAGCGAAGTGTGCATGAAACCTGTCATACGAGTGAATTATCTTTTTGGATTGGATTGCCTCCCGGGAGGGAACTAGCGCTTTAAATTCTCACAATATGTATGAGGGTGTGTAATGGGGGGTTATCGTACATGAGGCCATATGGTAAATGCGGGATTTTGGTGGAAGCTGGATGCATGCACGTGTGTGTGGGGGGAGGGAAGGGTTTGGGGTTGGGGGAGGATTGCAGAGGCCAGACGGCAGTTTAAACGCCCTGGTGGCTTGACAGACGAATGATACAGACTGTACGGCTGTTTCCTCACTTTGACCCCTCGCTTGAAGCTGCCTGATGGGCATTTCATCAACCTGAAGACATCCATCCTCCTCGTCACCTAGCGCTTGACTCCTGACCTCCCAGCTAAAACCTCTCAGAACGGAACGGCAAGCTTGCGCACACATACGTACAATACATACATACATACATACATTAATACGTACATGTGCACTGTCTGGGTGAAGAGGGGACAAAAGCCTCTACCCAGAGCCAGCACACACCGTCATCTCCAGAACTCTGTAACAACGGGGACGTTCCCGCAACTGCAACTGCAACCACGAGAATCACGCGCCCCTCTCTTGTCGAAAATCCAGTCCTAAGATTCCAACCACCAACCGTCGCATGGGCTCGCTCCGGCGGCTCCAGGGCGGCTCTGGCAGGATGATGGCGAGAAACAAAATGTACGGAAGCCGATCCGAGCGGTCTGCAACACTTGTCTTGCGCTTTGTCCCCCCCTCCCTCTCCCAACGAAACGAACGGTAAGGTACCTTGCACCGGCCAACTGCCGGTCCTCGCTCACCCCTCCAACCCCCTTTCACTTCCTGCCTCTCCGCCTGGTGTGCCCCTCTCTTCCACCTCTCAGTCCAAAATAACCGTGTGCCGTCATTTCATACACGACCATCACTGCGGCATCCCACCCTGTAACATAACATACGATGTATGGCCTTCATTCCGTCAAAGCACTAACACGCAAGACAAGATGGGCGACCCCAATGGCAGCCCCCGACACGTCTACCCCCCAGGGATCGCAAGCAGGGGGATACCCCGGCCCCTCTTCCACATTCACCCTCTGGCGGCTTTTCCCCTCCCCTCCTGGCCCCCCCCCATCCAAACAGTCCCAAAGAAAACGACTCAAGTACCACTCCAGCACCAGGCACACCCATCTCCTGCTGCTGCTGCTGCTCCACACGTTGATTGTGTTTGTCCTGCACCTGCTTGCCCGGCTAGACATTATGTACGACACACGCGCAGATACGCCATGAACACATCCACGAAAAAGCTTGCATGGATACATACATACATACATACATACATACATACATACATACATACATACATACATGCATACGAAACATGGCCGAGCCGGCCGCCTCACGCCTGGATGTTCAGCTTTCGAAGCAGCGCACCAAAATCAAATTTGGCTGGCTGGTGGTTGAAGGTGTGTACCAGCTGGTAGTCCTCGGAGCTGATGTAGAAGGCGCGGAGGAGCTCCGTGACGGTGCGGGCCTAGCGGGGGCGGGAGCGGCCGGAGGGGGGGGTCGCGTTTGGGGGCGGGGGTGCGCAGACAGGTCGGGGGTCGTGGAGAGAGGGAGAGAGAGTGGGAGCAGCCGAGGAGGGGGTCGCCGTCGATAGGATTGAGAGGGCTTAATCCAGGGGAGGTGTGTGTGTGAGTGTGAGTGTGTGTGTGTGTGTGTGAGTGTGTGAGTGTGTGTGTGTGTGAGTGCCGCACTGCGGGATGTGTAGTCGTGTGCGGGGAAAGAGGAAGAGTCATTGGACCTCGCCACAGACTTCCCCTTTTTTGAAAGGCCACACGACATACAGTACAGTGGGGACATCTATCTTTCCGCTAGGAGACATGCGTGCAGTGGTAACGCGATGCCGTACATAACGCCTGTAAACGCCCCAGGTCCTAGCTCTGCCTCCTCTCCCTTCCCCCTTCTGGGCGACTTGCCTCCTCCAAGTTCATGCCCTTCTCGTGTATGACGTCACCTCGTACAAGTACGACACCATGTGAGTCACGCAGCTCCGGGTAGTGCGTGAGGGTCAGGTACGGGGGTGCGCCTGCACCGTGCCTGCGACCCGTGGGTCCATTCACGTATTCGATTTGGGTCAGTGGTGTATTAACCGAAGGGGGGGCAGTCGGAGGCGGTGCCGCAGCGGCACCAGCGGGTTTTCTAACAGCAATATGCGGGCATGATGGGCCCATGGGCCTAACTCAGCTCCAAATGCGCATGCGGAGTGTTGGAGGCCACTAGCTGCTCATCAGCCAGCTGGCAGCACCAGGCGGCGCTCAAACAAACCACCACTCAAACAAACAGAGGGAGGAGCAACGAGAGACCGGGTGTCCTGGGAAGGGAAGGAAGGAAGGAAGCCCGCTAAGGGCCGTGTATCGTGTGGGATGAGAGCCGCAAACCACCTCTCAGCACACCGACCTCGCTCACCGACCTCTTAAACTCCTCCAGCCCCGTCACCAGCACGTACGGCATCTGGCATTGGACCAGAAGGGTCTCATAACCCGCGGGCTTGGACAACGGTAGTACGAACATGGGGCTGCGGTACAGGCCGTACGGTAAGGCCAGCAGGAGGTACGACGAGTGAGCGATGGCGGCAGCAACAGGGGTAGCGGGGGGGGGCTGCCACGACGAGACGCAGCGGTTGCGGCGTTGTGTGAGCTGTACAGCTCCCGTTCAGGGAAGTTAGGGCGTTTCCAAACCCATACGATGCACACACAAACACACCGGGCTAAGTAACCGTCAATCCTGGAGTTCGAATCCCAGAGGCGGCATCTAGCTTTATTGGAGGATGTGGGTTCGGGTCCCACCGCTGGTTCCCCCCTCCCCCAAGGGGTGAAATAGATCGGGGCGTCGAACGCGGAGATGAACCCCTGGGTTCCTCCGGTGCGCTGGGCGGCTGAGTGGGACACACACACACACACATACAGACAGACACACACATACCCAGGCCCTGCAAGCGATGACCCCCATGACCATTAGCACCTCCCTCAGTACCTCTCCGCGGCGCGAGCAGCAAAAGTGTCGCACTCTTGGGAACTGAGGACGGAGCCTACCCGGCAGCCCTGAGCATCTGAGTGGTACTGCAGCGCAACGCCGGGGGGCCCCAGCAGGGGACAACAAACCTTAGACGGTGACGGTTGAAAGGATATCCGTGGCCAACGGTTTATCGTTTGTACGGATATGTTGCGGCTGCGGCTGGGTGCTTCTCCTGCAGCAAACCAAAGTCGGGTCTCCCCCGTCTCAGCCCGAGTAAAGCGGCGGCTGCCCCCTCACTTCTCTTTTTGGACGACAGCGAGGTGTGACTTACAGTCAATCGCAAAGATGAGGGAACGGGCGCGGGAGCGGGAGAAAGTCTGGATGGATGCCCTGGTTGGGTTGGGAGCGGCGTCAAAAGGTATCGGCGTGTGATGAGGGACCCCGGGTCAAGTGCTATAGCCGGGGGCCTCTTGACACTGACCAGCGTTGTGTCAAGAGGTTCCCTCGGTGGCGGTGCCGGTGGTGGTGGTGGTGGGACATGGATGCTTCAGCTTCGCACAAAACCCGGTCCCTACGATGACAGATCACTGTGCTGCTGCTGAACCTCGTGTGCTGCTGGCGCACTGCGGGTCCTGCGGATTCTGATCATTACGCATTCAATCATCAGATGATGACTAAAGCCGTAGCTCGCGATTTCTTGGAATGCCAAAGTCTAAAAGACATAGGACAGGCGCCGCGCCACATAACCTTTGTCATCTTAAGGTTTCGCACTGGCCGACGGGGGTGTACATGGATTGGGGGAATGGGGATTACTATCCAACCTGGCTAGAATTGGGTCAAGGCCTCACCGCCAGCCAGATATCGATCACTTCCTCGCGGCTCTTCTTCAGCAGCTCCTCTAGACGTACAACCTGGCCCAGCTGGCTCGGGGACGGCGCCGACACACCGCTGATGCATGCTTGCTGGTTTCGTGCGTGTACCCATGTTGCCTACGCCGCATGATAATTGTAATGCAGATTTAAGCTTTGGTGTCTCTTCACCATGTCCACCATCGCTTGGTGTAGTCCACTCACGGAGGAGTTTGCACCAAGACGTCGCCCGCATCGTAGAAACGTGCAAATCAGCTGATTTGATGCGCGATACATTTTTTGGAGTAATGAGTGCCTTAAAAGTTTGGAAATTTTGATAGTTCTCGCGCATTATGTGACATTGGACTGTAGCTCTTACGCAACCATTTGGACGAGCTTTGCGCCATGCCTAACTGCACGATCGAGGAAATCGATGGGCATTTATCCAATCCTTTGTCGCTGCTTTCGGGCACGACGACAAAGTCTATCTTCCTAGCAAGTAGCATTTCATTGTAAGACGTGGCTTGAAGAACTAGCCGGAACCACATCCCGCGTCATAGACGTGTGTCCCAAATCCTCAGAACCTTCCCTCTGTGCGCGCCTTCACTAAGAACAGGACATCTGTAAGAGTATGGTTTTGAATGGTTTCCTCCTTTCCCGTGCAGTCGTACACTTGAACTGCTAGAACCGATGCAGTACTATGCAAGGATTGGCGCGTGCACAGGCATGCAGCTAAAGTGCCCGAGGAATGCTTTCTCATATCGGGTGGATGCTGCGCTAAGCCAGGGGAAGGATGCAGTTTGAATTTTTAACCCCTGAAGCTTGCCCGCCGAGGACAGACATAGAAATCATGCGGCTCTCTTAAGAGGGCGGCTTTACAGAAGTAGCAAAGGAAGAGCCCGAAGCAGATCGGACTAGGAACGACGAGATAAACCCAAACCGGGAGGCACCCCAAACAACTGCCTGCATCCACACAAGGCTAAGGTCAAGACAAAGAGGCCGGAAACACAAAAAGGACTCCACTCAAAGCGAAGGAAGAAGCACCAAGCCGCAGCCTCTCAAAAAAGGAAGAACCAAAAACGAGGTCACAGCCTGGCACCCACGACGCGGGATTCCAAGGGCGATCCCACTGCTGAATGTTTTCGGCTACTTGTGTGCGTCCTTCTCCTCGCCGGAATCGAGAACTGGCCCAGCGTGGAGTAGTTAGCGGATAGGATTGCAACTCGTAATGAGCGTTTGGAGGTTGTAGCAATAAAGTATGTGCGCGATGTGGCGGCGATGGAGGAGCTTCCGGAGGACAAAGGCGCTCTTCTAGATTGTGAAGAACAGAACGCCCGCAATGCAAATCTGATTGGTCAGTAGGGCAACACTGCATTCAGCAGCACCAAAATTAAGAACCGGGCGGCGGAAGAAGCTAGAACTAAAACACCCGTGCGCAGAGATGAGATTTTGTACCATGCTACTTCGACGAATTTACGTACCGCTGCATGGTACAAAACTCGTGGAGTGGCTGATGAACAGGCCAATGCCAGAAGGTGTGATTTTGGAGTTCAAGGACCGATAAGTGAGTGGTTGGAAGCATACGCGTTTAGATGTCCAGCCTGACGTGTATCCGTCAGACGGCAGGCAACCAGGAATCCACATGGCGAAGTATAAGCATTGGATGGGTCTGGCGGCCGAGCAAGCGGGCAGGAAGGAGGTGCTCCCGCATATCACAATGTTTATCCCGCGTTCGGCGAATCGCGAGCTTATGCAGTTTAGGCCTTGCTGTTGGGCACTGGCGGCTAACAGAGCGCGTAAGGGACGGCGTTATATGCCTAGGGAGGAGCGAGTATGCCCTTGCTGCGGCACTGATAGCCATATCGAGAATGAGAAACACATTTTGCTGGACTGTCCGGTGTACGACGAAATCAGATCTGATATGGGCTTTCCACGCTTCGAACATATGAAGGACGCTATGAAGTGGGAACCTGAACGCCTGGCAAGGATGCTGGAACGCATATGTAGGCGATTTGGCAGCCCTTGAGCCCTCGGCTCGTACTAGGGTGGTTTGCAGGTACGGGGAACGCACCCACGACCATGTAACAACATCAACAACAACAACAACAAAACTCGCCAAAGAAGCATGGGCTCAGCAAGTCCGCAAAGGACGCCTCGAGGATTGGAAGGAGGCGCCCCGCGGGGAGCGTCCCGCAAACTTCAAGATGGAGGTTTCGATTGCAGAGGGTAAGGAAGCCTTCGCACGAGCAGTGAAGAACCTTGTGGTTGCGCACAACACCAACGGGGGCTGCAGAGGGCTGCTTATGCACAGGTTCTGCACAGCCGTCTGAAGGGCGTCAGAGCACCTCCCAGCCGCAGCTGTGGGCCATCACCAGGTTCTTGGCCGCTGTACAAACATCCCCTGCCCCACCGAGCCATGCTAAGGGGTAAATGGAAAAAGTTGAACGCCTGTTTCGCGGATTTATTTTTGGTGACGGCTGTATACGTCCTGCCAAGGAAGAAGAGCGGACGAACAGATCGAAGTCCCTTCACGGCTGGTAGTCCAGCTTCCAAAGCAGCGGCCCACAACCCCCTCCTGAACCGTCTGGAAGACACTCAGCTTCCCCACACTCAGCTTCCCCACACCTCCAACGCACAGTCAATTCAAGTCCAAGTCCAAGTTCAAGTCCAAGTCCGCCTGCTGCACAATACGGCACCACGCACGCCAGCCTATCCAACCCGCTTAATGCTGTCTTACTCCAGTGATGGGTTTAATGCCACCTCCACCGGCCGCCGGTGCAGCTGTACGCCCTTCATATCGTCGCCAGTAATCGGTCGGTCTTCACCCAACTCTATTCAAATTAGCAAACAACAAAGCATACAGGCTGTGTAAGGTCCACAGGTCCATTTCAAGTTATCACTTGCGGCAGCTCTCCGCATTCAAGCAAACCAAAGCCAGCCAGGGTGGCCAAATTCCTCTCGTCTGCTCCCCGCTCCCTCCCGGAGTGATCCCTGGCCAAGCAGATGAAGCCGAAACCCCCCACGATGTCCAAATCCCCAATCTTCAACCCTGCCACCAACGCGCTTTCTGCACCCCCCCCTCTCTCCCCCGGTGCTTGCACACCCGCTCTAACGTCATCATCCTGCACAACAGGGTCGGGTTTTCAACCTACACAAGTTGTCAGCCTACATATCGAGTGCTGGCCTACACCGCTACCCCTACTAAATCACAATCCTTACTAACGGTATCCTCACTATCGTTGCTCCTTGCCTCGGCCTTGCCCTCACAACTGCAGCCGGTACTATTGTTCTTGTTCTTTTCCTTGTTGCTCTTGTTGTTCTTGTTGTCGCCGCTGTTGTGCGGAGGACGACGCCATTCCCAGGACCCCCGGCATGGCCCCACTGTCAATGGTGCTGTGCGAGAGGAAGATCTCCGCTGTCCGCTCCATCGCCATGCACACTCCCGGGTGTTGCTCGTCCTCGTACCTACAGCCACCAGGGACAAGCAACGAAACACAGCTGTTATTGACACGCAGCCGTCATGACACCAAGTGACACACACGTATGCATTCACTCCACCTAAATGCATTTCAATCCGAGCACCGCGCCACTGGTACAGAGGCATACGTTCGTCTCAACACACACACACACCCTCTGATTAGCAGACAAACCCAAAACGCGTGCCGTGTGTGGACGCTCGGAAGAACATGTGCATATCATGCACTGGTGATGGAACAGGGCGGAACTTGCACTTTAACTCCCGGGTCTCTACCCCAGCCCTCGCCTGACCCTGACCCGGCTGCCAGGGTGGTGGTGGCAGAGGTGGTACAGCATTTGGACCTAGCGCAGCCGCAGCTGCAGCCGCTCGACTGGGAGGGACCCCACACTCGGCAATCGCAGACGGGCGCTCTCTAACTTAAAGGCACCCTCTCTAGCCTACTCGCAGTCACACGCCCCCCTCTTGCTCCCTCTACAGGTGGTCGTCATTGCTACGCACCCCTTGCGCAGGGCCTCTGGCGCGCCCGCCTCCCACAGCGCGTCTCGCCCCTTGTCTGTATTAGCCAGCACCAAAATGGACTCTGCCATACACTCCCGAACCCTGCAAGGAAAAGAAGAAGAAGAAGAAGAAGAAGAAAAGGGGCCAGGAAATGAAGTTGGGTCAAGTCATACTGATACACAGGACTTTGCCGGACGACGGCACGAAGCGCCCTGGTGTTGGCCTGGTAACTTCTTTCGTTATACTGCAGGCGCACTCACGTGTCTTCCTTCTCCAGCGGCGGTTGGCCGTTGATGGGTCGCAGCATGTGGGTCAGCGCTGTGCGGTCCTCCAGGATGCTGTCCAGGGTGCCATCCTCCTGTGGTGGGAAAGGCGGCGAAGGGGGAGCTGGGGGCTAAGGTCAACCTACTGACATTAAAAAAAAGCAGATACCAGAGATAGGCGGATACTGCATCAGGAATATTTGTAAGTTACTGACCAGTAATGACTTGGATAGTAGTCATGGCAGCGACGTGGGCAGGTAGATTGCGAAACGAGTCTCAATAAGAGGAAAGAAGAAACAGCAAAATGACTACCTAGCCGCCGAGTTGAAAGAAAAAAGGTTGTTAAGAAGGCAGAAGAGCAAACGAAGCTGTGGGGGAACCGGAACGCAAGCCGGGCGTGGTATTCTGATGTGGGTGTGAAAACATTCGCCTCTCCTCCTCTCCATGTCCTCGATCCATAATTCGGAACCATTTGGCCCCAGCGCTGAGGTGTTTTAACGGACCGCGGCTCAGCCGGACCTCAACTCCCACCCACAGCCCACCTCCGCCGACATGATGCAGTTTCTTAGCGCTCCTGACGCACCCAGCCGCCGCAACGCGTTCCACGACTGCAGTTGTGATACCAGCGCCTGTAGTAGCCCTCGACCCGGCTGTAGCAGCAGCAACCGCGCCTCGCGCAACCGTGTCACATTGGTCAGAACAGATGCCACGTGCTCGTACGGGTCGGGGTCGTTGGGGCAGAGTGTGATGCCGCCAACCACGAACTTCTTCAGCAATACGGCCCTGCGTTGTGTTTGCGTCTGTTAGTGCCCTAACTGCAAATGCGTATTTGATGATAGGTTGAGCTGAGGTATGTCTACATGAGCATTGCGTGGAGCAGCCTCTTGCGATCTGGCACATTGGCATAGCCTGCAACTGATCGCTGAAGGCTCTGTGCGCCAAGTCGCCGTGTTGAAGGTTGGAGTAACAGGTCTGTTTCCCAACACATTTCTCATTGACACGGGCTAAAGCCCAACCAGCATCCGACGCGCTGCTGCAATGCTGGCGCAGAGGAAGCCTTTTCACCAGCCGTTCTCTCAAATTATTGCCGTGTTTCGTAGGTCTAGCTAGGCCCCTGGTGGCGGCTTTGGCAGCGACACCGCCACCACCGCTGTCAGTGGTGGCGTTGCTACCACAAACAGAGAGAAACACTAATGTGGCCACACATCCATCGCCCTCTTTTCGCAGATACAGGATGGCGAGCCAATGAGCGAAGGCGCGATGGGCGCAGTACCCCACTCTGCAGCCCCTATCATGCGGCTGGAAGTACTCACATGTGCAGCCCCTCCATACTGCCTTTCCCAATCTGTAGCAAGTCCTTGCAGCCACGCTCGCTTATAGTGGCATTTGCCAGCAAGCTCGTCTGCAGGGGCCAAAGTCAACGTAGGAAAGACGTGGAACAAGGTTGAGGATTGGGAAACCGAGTTTCCTGGCGATAAAAGGAAGGATTATCATGTTTGGCACGGACTTCTGTGTATCGGGGTCCTCCTTTGGTGTCGGGCTACCTCCCTTCAATCAACTTAACTGAAGTTGGGAAGACCATAAACGACCCCGGGGTCACAATACGGAAGAGCGTTGTTAACAGCCTTAGGCGGCATCTGGTGTGCACAAAATGTGACACCATCATAGTAGGATGAGGCGTATAGCAGCGAGTGCTAAGCGGAACTTACAAGCAAGTCAACGTGTGGAATAGCCCCTTCGCGGATGAACTCCATGACACGGTTCATAACGTTCAGGTCTAAAAGTAGCTCCACAACAGCCGGGTCGTGGGAAAGGTTCACAAGCGCAACCAGAGCTTTCCTCGCGGCATCTCCACCCATGCCCACAGACCGGAAAAGCTTAATCACAAGGGGTCGCTGCAGCGTCTTCAACCTTTCGATACCTTCCGCGTTTGCAGTCAAACCAGCGACAATTTCGGCTGACATTGAACGAACCTGCGCCGCCAAGCCCATGCGATGACGACAACATATTAAAAGGTACGTGAGCTTTGGACGACGACATGTTGGAAATAGTCCCTTTACCTCGCTGCGGGAGTCATCCAAGAAGCTTACGAGCTCTTCAAGTTCGGAAACCGTCATTCTTGCAACAACCCTATCAGTATCCTTTCAGTAATTGTAAATTGTCAAGCCATGTTGAGTACAACAACCTTAAGCCGAGGTGATTTTGTGTTGTCACTAAGTTCTGCAATAAACGACGCCTGAGCGACGCCCAAACTTCCGCCGTACATGCTCGAACTTCGCCCTGTAAGCTAAGTTGCCTTGGCGTACCTAAGCTACTGAGGAGGCGACATTTCCATCAGCTTCCAATTTTCGCCAGGATCGCTTGGCGCAGGATTGTTTTGAAGTGCTCATTCCTGTTCCCAAAACCCGCCGCACTTTCCCAACAGGTCCCAACAAACACATATCAGCAGGGAAACCCCTTTAGAAGCCAAATGGCCATTTGTTAAGATTGATAAGTTCGATGCCGTGTCCTGTATATAAAAGCTGACTCAGCAGCGTTATGCCGTGCATGCTTGTACGAACTCACGGTGCTAACGATCTGCCTGGTCGATGTTGCAGCACCTTTATCTCACAACCCGCATGATATGACGCAAAGCGAGCGATATAAATAACCGGTTGTCACTGCCTTGCCAGTAAGATTCTTCCATGCATTCACCATGAAAGACAGGGCGGCTGCGTTACAAAGGCAATGTGTGGTATTGATGATAAGCCTATCCGTGACTACGAAAATGTGCACACCCACCCCAACATCTGCTGGTGCTTCTGAAAAAGCACGGCGTATGGAAATATGGTCAGCATCCCATGCCGTAGTGGCGAGAGACTGGACACACCGGGACCAACACGGTTAGCTAGAAATACCCGTTGCCAAGCCATATCAAAATAACCTTAGGATCTTGAACAGACAACCCGGATGGCGCGACATGAATCCACGTCCCGACAACTCTCCGTGTTGCGTATGATGAGAATGAATGACAGCTACTCAAATTATATCTATGTCAGAAAGGACTCCCGGTGCCTTGCACACGATGCGTAATTTGGACACTTCACATCTGACAGTTATACAAAATGCCTGCAGGTCTTGTTCCAGGCAAGGCCTCCCACATGAACCCTGGACAGGACACCAACGCGCTATCAGGCCACAGAGGCCACCGATTCGCCATCATATGCTGCAGCATCTGCAACAGTCCCATTATTTCGCACCGCACAGTCCCTCATATATGGATTATGCACCTAGCCATTCACATTTTTAGACGAACTTGGTATTCTTGCATAAGACATTATGTTTTGGCAGGCCGGCCTGGCCCAATTGAATGAGCGTGGCCACGGGTGCACGACTGGTGGCCACGGGTGCACGACTGCGGCCCCGATATCGATATAAGGTTTTAAGCCCAGAGCCATAGCCACCAGGCTTCCGGGCTCGCCGCCATGTCAAGTTCAGGGACTTCACAAAAATCGCGTTCAGACGCACCATCTTGATTTCCGCAAGTCCCCTATAGGGGAAGAAGGGGTTCTTCCCCTACCGCTGCTGCCAAAGCAAACAACGCGATATCGCCAAAGCAGCTGCCTCGTGCACTGCCACGGTGGCCAGAACAAAAACAAAACTTCCGCCAGGGAACGCCAAGTTCATTCACCGTGCCAACGTGGCCTCCTGCACCGGCACGTGGCCGCCAACTGCTCCCAACTGTACCGCACTTTTTGCACTGCACAACGCTACGTCAGCGGATAGCCAAGATGTAGCGTTAGAGCCCGGTAACTGCAGGATACGGAAGTGCCTGATAGGCGGCCGCAATATGCCCGGCTTTTGTAATGTCCTGCATATAAAGCCTCAACATTTTGTGCTCACCAAGCTTTCCTCTGCAACATAACAAGCAGAAAACTCAGCTGTACAGAAAGACCAGGGGGGTAATCACCCAGGACTGAGAGGATGACACGTCACACCGCACAGCTTGATGCAAGGGGGAGTGTGCTCCTCGCTTGAGAAGGTAACGTTGCCACGGCATGTTCGCGTTAGGGGCATAAGCATCCTGTAACATATATGCCATATCATCATGGCGCAACTCTTTGCCGACAACTAGCTCTCACACGCAGACAGACATGCTGCAAAATGTCAACCCCCAAACACGTTTTCATCCCTTCATGAAAGCATGCAAGTTCAGCAGTTGACAACTTGATGTTTCCGACACGACATATGTCGCATAGCTTGTTGTCCGCTCCTCTGCACGAAGTCAGGGAGGAAGCTGCCCACACGGATTAAAAGCACCACAATCGCCGCAAGCGGGGCGCATCGGGACCTGCTACGACCGACGCCAAAGGCCAAACACGCAGCTCGAAACAATAACTACCCATTCAGCTTGGCCTTGCGACGCCGCCAGACAAACATCAGAAACCACGCCACCTGAAGCTATACACTCATATACACTCAAACGGGACAACACGCCTGCAACTGGACATTATAATGCAGGCGTTGCCAGCGTGGCAAACAGGAGTCAGTGAAGTGAAGGAAGCGCTTCAAGGCACAACGCAAGATGGACAAAGGCGCACCATAAAGCCATCCCATGCCGGCTGTAGCATATTTTCCTGAAGCGGCCCCTTTGGCACCCCTCAACTAGGCCAGTGCCGACCCACAAGGCCTCTTTCGTACACAGTTAGGATGCCGTTATAACATCCCCTCAGGATCCAGCTCTCTTAACCCCAGTCTCGGGCAACCAGGCCGCCCCACCATCCGACAGGAAAGCCACACGCGGTGTTCTTCTGGAAGCTCAAGACCGACGTCTTGTTTCCCTTGTGACACCGCCGCATATCTGGTTCGGGCGCCGGACTTGCTCAGCAGGGCATGCGACGTACTTTAGGATCTAAAGGATAGAACATTGGTTCCCAAAAAGCCAGATGGGAGAGAGCAAGAATGGGTGCATCTCCGCCGTCACGATTGACATCTCGCGATAGCGCAACGACTACAAAACCGATATACCTCGAATATAGGGTGCCCTAGCAGTAGTGCACCTTTGGGGCGAAGAAGACGTGTTCTGATATTCCGAGCGTCAGCTGTAGTTTCAACTATGCATATTTTGCAGCGCCGCGCCTCAGATTTTTCGATGCCCACCGCTAGTACGTCTTCCGAATTGACATCATGCCATGCCACCAACATCTACCCACTACCACACCATGCAGCCATGGGAGCTCCCAGCAAGTTATCCGCCCAGCAACATGATAATCCTTTCTTAATGCACCACACCCACATAGCTTTGACCGAATAAATAGGATCCCACATATAACCCCCTTACCTTTCGTACATCCGACTCCGCGTGAGTTTTGAAGTACTACCATGTACTACCATTACTTTGCGAGCGTTGCCATGCCTATAGGCCCCGTTGCACCGCGCGGCAAGAACATATCCCCAGCCATCATTACATGCGTCCCCCACATGCACCTGTTGTTAAACCAGCATAGACGGCACGTCGACCTCGACAATACCAGCTTGGACACCCTCCTTGCGATGATCCTCGCCTTGTGTCGTTGAAGCATTCACCATCCGTTCATGGGAATTCCACGGCGCTCCGCCGTCATCATGTTTCATCGGAAGTTCGTTTTCCTCCGGGCAGAAGCAGCTTCTTCGCCCACAGCTCAGGTGCCGGGCCCAGGAGGCCCGAAGTGAAGCTTGGCTGAAGGCATCCCAGCGCCGAATGCCCCCACCACTTCCATTACGTCCCCACAGCCGTTGCTACCCACCTACCATCAAGCCAGCCCCACATGAATGCCACCCCCCCCGAGATGCCTTAACGCTGTCACTACTGCTGCTTGACACAGCTTTCCTCAACTGTGCGCGCTGCGTCTCACCGTCTCCACAGGAATTTCTAGTCCTCGCCCTGCTGCCGAGTCAACAGCCAGCTTCTTTGCGGGGTCCCGAAAGCTGTCTCCCTGCTTTATTGCTGCACAAGAGCCTCCATGTGCATCACGCACGCCGCCAGCTCGCCGTCTGTTGGCGTGTAGTCCGTCATTGTCTGCAGCACCGTTGGCCACGCTGGCACCATGCCCCGCGCGCGTCGCACCACCAGCAAAGCCGCTGCGCCCACCAGCGATGGCCGCAGCCCCACCACTGGGCTGCACGCAACCTTGAGCACCAGCGTCTGTAGGTCCTTCGTGACCCGGTCCACGGCCTTGAAGTCCGGCAGGTAATGACCCAGCCGTTCCAAGTATAGCTGGATAACACGCATGGGCGAGATGGTGGACACGTCATGCCCCAGCCACATCAACACGTTGCGCTCCATGGCCATGAGACCGTCTGGCCCAAAACCTGTCAGTAGCGTGACCTGCTCCAGGGCCGGCCACATTGCCAGTGCCTCCACTTGGCGCGCCGCAAGCAGTAGGCAGCTGCAAAGCATGAGTGGCCAGGCGGCCACGTTGAGCGGGGCGCCGCAGCAGGCGACTCGGTCAAAGAGCTGCAGCGCGTCGTAGATGGTGTCGTCCTTAAGTTGGAAGGCAGCGCCATATTTAAAAGCCAGGTGCACGACCTGAGCACGCTGCGCCAGCAACGCCTGGCTACAAAGCGCCGGGTTGATGCTGAACAGCTGCTCGTACCTGCCAAGGTAGAGGTCGTGGGTGGGTACATGCGGTGGGCGGAGGAGTGCGTCTCAGGACAGTTAACCTCATGAATGAGGCTACGAGGCAACAGAGCAGGTATGGAGGTAGTGACGGCCAGCACTCCTTGAATGTGCGGGCTTGTGTATGGCCGCGTACACTCCCGAAGCTGCCCGATTCCCTAAACTCCATCAATCGGACAATACAACCCTTCACACAGCACGTGCATTGCCTTTCCTTGCGGCCCGAGCGCCTCCTCGTGAGGGGCCAGGTTGGCAAAGGAGCCGACACGGGGTTGACTCATCACGGCTGTTCGTTCAGTGGTATAAGTTGCCCTTCCTGTCCTGCCCTTCATGTCGTTTTTAAACCATGACCCCAGGACTTCTTTAGTAACTCAGCTACAACACCATTTTTCCAAACCGCCCAGCCGCCGCGTCTCATACTTCCAAGCCTACTGCCCGGCAACCGCCCTCCACCTCGCACCTTTTGACCGCATTAAAGGCCTCAATGCAGCGCGCCGCGATGGCGACGTCTTCTGACAGAAGCAGGTCCAGGGAGATGCGCTTCAGTTGCTGACTCTGCTGGATGTGGACAAAGTCGTTAAAGGCCGCAGAACGCAGCCACACCGTGAGCGGCGCCGCTGCTGCCTCCAGCGTAATCGTCTGGTCAAAGAGGTGCATCGTGAAGGGAGACGCGTTGCCGGCCAGCAGCAGCGACACCGACTCGAAGATGCGCGCCGAGGGCTGCTCGGAGCGGTTTTGCTTCGACTTATGCAGAGTGAAAACCACCTTGTCCCGGAAGAAGCCGGGACCATCCTTCAGGAGCTTGTTTCTGCAACATATATAAACAAAGAGGACGCTCAGGAAGGCAGACGGAGAGGAAATTTCACGTTCAGCCTACAGCGTAATAATACACCACGCTGGTGTTCCGACAGCGTATTAGCAAGCCACTGGGTCATCTGGCGGCTAACAGCGCTAGATCCGCGGAGGTACAGTCCCCATACAGCCTGGGAGCGTGAGAGGGCCTGGTAATCCAGTCAGCGGGCAAGACGGCACACGAATGTTCGGAGCAACGGAAGCCTGGTATCGCCAGTAGTGACCGGCCGGAGGACCACGCGCAACCCACTTGAGCTCCGAAACCCAACGGACCACCGTGACGACCGCCGCGCCGCTGGTGAATGCCACCGTACTATACTGAAGCACGTTGCTGTCTTGTTTACTGTTGGTGTAAATCCTGGGGGCATATGGGTGCATATTTGGTGCAGTTGGGCACAACCCGTTTAGAAAGGGGAACGAGAACGGTGTACAACAGGGGCCCCCTTCCTGCAGAGACATAGCCTGCTTGCGCGGCAAGATACTGAACGACATGCTCCACCTGTGGAGGGCCTGACAACATTTTTGTGCCATGACTACCAGGACGCGTTCGGGAATATATCGACCACCTTCTGGTTTATGCGGTTTATGCCTTTTGGTGACAAGGACCTTCGAAGTTATGGTTACGCTGCCAGATCGAATCACACCAGCCGGGGACACTATCTAAACCCCTCGCATTTATGTTGGTGAGCCGGATGCGAGCATCAAACAGGTTGCGACTGCACGGGTGCTCCTTACCCCCCGATCCAGCAAACAAATCCAGCAACATATACCTGAAGTGCCCGCTCCGATTCGCCAGCGTCCAGAGCTGCAGCGCCTTGCTCTGCGCCAGCAGCACGCCGCTCTGCCACAACACCTCCATCAGGCTGTTGAACACCGCTGCGTCGGGATGGCAGCCCTGCGTCTGCATCTGCTCGAACGCCTTGAGTGCCCGGCGCCATTGCCCGCCCCGCTCGTAGGCCGTGATGAGGCCACAGTACGTGATGCTGTCGGGCTTGCAGCCCTGCGTCTGCATCTGCTCGAACAGCTCACTGGCCTTCTCCCAGTGACCCCCTGCACGTGCAGCGGACATGCAGCGCACAAATCCCAATCCCTGGAGCAAGGGCCAGTAAGACCAACAATATGATACGGCAAGCAGAAGCTGCACGTTGTACGACAGTTTCGATGCACGAGTCGGGGGCCTTGTTACCAAAGTGTTTGATAATTAACATTAGGCAAACTTCAGGCTTGCCAAGTAAGAAGTCGCTTGCTTGGGTAACCAGAGCGAGCACGCACCGTGCGAGCATGCGGCGATGAGCGAGTTGAACGTCACGACGTTAGGCTTGCAATTCTCTTTATGCATCTTGCTAAACAGCTCCAGAGCCATCTCCCAGCGCCCCGCCTTTTCGCAGGCAGAGATGAGTGACGAATATGTTATGACATTGCGCTCGCAGCCGCGCCGTATCATATCGCGAAAAATCTCCAGCGCCTTCTCCACCTGCCCTTTCTTCCCATACGCGCTGATGAGTGCCGTATATGTTGTGGCCGACGGCTTGACGCCCGCCGCAAGCATCTTTTCGTACACTTTTAATGCCTGCTCCGGCTGGCCTGACTTGTTACAAGCAGAAATGACCGTGTTGTAAGTCCGGACCTCCGCCTGGATAGCCTGACAGCACCAGACACGGAAAACGCCGGGGCAGCAGTACGTGAACAACAGATTAGGCGGTCCGAAAGGATTACAACCTTAACAAGGCAACCTAGCGGAACCATGGTCAGGCGGTCCTGAAAAAATTGCCCCAACACGCGCAGTAGGCTAGAATTGGACGCCATTCACAGAATTCCGCCGTTGCATGCCCAAACGTGTGCTGGAGGCTTACCAACATGCAAGACAGACAGGCAACGCACTTCATTTATTTCCACCCCGTCGGCACCTATCTCGATCCAATCCCCTCTTCTTAGCACAGCCCAACCCCTTAGTACCCCTTAGAAAGGGAAGCAGCCTGTCCTTCCACGCGTTCGTGTTCAGCATGTCAGCATTCTGCTTGTACACCGACAATGGGGAGGGCGGCCTGCATAACCGCACCCTAGCAATTACCACAATTCGTTCCGCTTTGTTGAGCCGCGGCCCTTCCCAAACCCAACAAAAGGACAAGGAGTTGCTGCTGGCCAAGCGGACCACATAAGTACATCCACATCCATACACAACACCGCCAATGAACACGTGGATCCGCACTTACCTGTTTCTCTAGCGTGTCCAGGACTTTGACCGCCTCCTCCCACTGGCATCTTTTCACGTACACATCGATGAGAATGTTGTACGTCACCTGGACATTGGCCAGGGTTCATAGCCCAAGTTTGATTGCTTCACCAGTAAGGCTGAAATAACTCTTTCTTGTCAATTCATGCGCAGTTTTGCAAATCTTAGCTCGTCGCTCATATCCCGTCAGCAATGAAGAAGCAGTGAGGGATACCGCTCCGGCTCTACCGCTATGTTAACTTCAATCAATCATCCCACAGCTCTCCTGCGCCCAAACCCAAAACACAACGTGTCTCACAGCAGATGCAATGTGCGCAAGACTGAGCAATGCAGTCTGCCATCCCATTCCTGGAGCTGAGCTTTCTCCTCATCCCTTCCCACCAGGTTCGGGCTGCAGCCCTCCTCCAGCATCTGCTTGTAGACGTCCTGCGCCAGGTCCAGCTCGTTGGCCTTGATGCACACGTTCATCAGTGCGCTGTACGTGTGCACATTGCAGTCAATGCCCCGGCTGCGCATTTCCGCCACCAGCTCCAGGGCCCGCCGCAGCTGCTGATGTGAACCACACTGGCTAATCATGGTGGTATATGTGTACCTTTGCAGAACAGTCGCGGCGTGGTGCAATTCGTTAGCGCGTTTCCCTGGGAGGGACTTTATTCATATCAGCATTAAGGCAATGTGCAGTCTTGCGTTTCAACGCAGGCAGGGGAACCACGCTAACGACGACTTCTCCCCCCACGCGTCCGGCGACCAGGGACAAACTTACAGGTCGCAAAGGCTTGACAACTCATGGCTGGGCTCCAAATTGCGCAGCCAGTCGAAAATCTCAACGGCCCGTTTTAGGTAGCCCTGCTTTGCTAGCTCCTTAAGCAGAGCTGCCATCGCCGAGCTGTCCAGGTAGTATAGCCCTTGCTTAATAGCGTCCACCGCGGGCTCCTGTACGCCAGAAAGGGCTCGGCACGTATGTCTTATGCGCAAATTGCATAGGCCGCATACCAGTGCACACCTGTGGTGCCAGCTTCAGGACGATTTTAAGCAAGTCTTCAACAGTCATATCGGAAAACGCCAAACCAAGATTATCTTGTAATTTCTGCCCCTTTGACACCTTTGTGACTTGCTGCCAAAGCCTCCGGTAACCCTGGCCGCGCTGCGGGTGCTTGCGTGGGCTCGTGCCATCCTTAAGGTGCCCATGTCCACCCCGATGGCCGCTGTGCCCGGAGCTGGCCTCACCAAGTCCATCTTGAGCTAGGCTCGCTGATAGACTGCGCGACACCGGCTCGAGGGGCCCATCGCTCCGGGCGTTGGGCGCGAGGTTAGGGTCCGTATTGAATAGCACCGCCGGGTCAGCTGCACTATTGAGGCTGGACATCAAGTCCTGACATGATGATAAATGGCTGCTGTAGACGCTTTCCAAATCCTGCGCACTGTCGAGAAACTCAGCCCCAACATCTCGAGGTCCACATCCCTTCTTGGCCCCTTTGCAAGTGTTTGAGACGAACACCCCATCGAAGTCAAGATTGTCTGTCGTCAGGATATCCGTCTGTGTAAGCCAATGCTGTAAAGGTCCCGCGTCCGACCCCAGGTTAGCACTGTTGAGCAGAAACGCAAGGCTATCGACTTCTTGCTGGGAGCTTTGCTGCGCTGTTTCCGGAGGCAACGACATGACTCCCAACTGAAAACAAGTCCGGTAAGGCTTCAGGAGCGGCTGAAGTATCGCAACACTGAAGGGCGATAAGGAAACGTGGGCGGCTCCCCAAAGCCCAAACTATCTTACAAATATTTGGGCTACTGTGGAAACTAACCAAAATATAGATTAAGAGCCATTATCGTCATGCTAATGTTAGGACGCCGGTCCGAGGATATAGCCGCAATTCAAGACTTTTTCCAACACACGTTAATTATCATCAATACATAGTCTATGCTAATGATTGCACAAGAGCTTGAAACATGTGTGCCTTTGCGAGCGAGTACGACGGCGTTCCTTGGCCTGCCCTATTTCAATTTTTGTTCCTTGGCCTGCCTTATTCCAATTACCCTATTTCAGTGTTGTGCGGGAGACGTGCCTAGGGGTGCTGCACTCGACCCGTTCGGGGTCCACTGTAACAATTTTCAAAGGGCATTACCCCTTTTACCCCAAACCGTTGAAGTGCTGCAGGCTTGGAAATTCGAAATGCAGTGTGTCGAAATTCACTTAGCCACCGGGTTTGCGAAAGTAACTGCAAGTGAAAGCGAAGACATTTGGTTGCCCGCTCTTATCATAGCAGCTTGCGGTACAGAGCACGAACCCTTCGTCCACTCACGTAGCTATGCAATGGCGCTATCTCCTCAACTCTCCATTTCCATGTGTACGCTGTGAGCTGTGGCACACTGCAGCGGCTGGGGGGTTAGAGGTGCACTGTTGTTTGAGGGGTTCAACTAGCCCGAGCATATGGATACGTGTCCTAGTAAAAGGCGATGCAGAGAACACGTGAATCCTACATGGCGATGGCAATCCTGCCGATTAAGCAACTGGTCAACTGTGATACTGCGGTGCGTTTCAGTCAGGTTTGTTGTAGCATCTTCAATTGTGATTACGAAAGGCAACCTCTTCTTTGTGCCCTGAAACTTTATCAGGTAAAGTATCATTTACCCTTCTGATCACCCCATGGCGATGCCAGCCAAGACCATGCCCTCACAACAAAAACGTTTTACCACAAACTCATCGCATCGCAACCAGTCGCATGACAACAGCGCATGGCCAGGTATCCCGTCTGCTGTAAATGGCAAGCATTCTCAGGGTCAATGCCAACCCCTCTGCCACCACAGATGTACAACTCAAAGCTCAGGATAACCAAGTAGATAGAGCTTCGATTCATTATCGGACTCATTCAGCTTATGTTGACCAGCGTACGCTTAGCCATTTTACCAGGGGCCTACTATGTTCCCGCCTGTACGCGCTGCATCGCTGCGGTTAGGGCTCATCTGGAGCAAGCGGACTCCTTATTATGCTTTCTTGCGTAACCGGCTATGTAACACCTATCATGGCCATATGTTGCATGTACGATGGTATTTTACAACTGAAAGCATTCTAGGAGAAACCCCAAACGCCTCTAGGTTGTTGCGGTCGGATTACTCAGAAGAACCGCTGGTTGTCCGTATTAGGCCTCCAATGTGAGCATGATAGCTTCCCGGTGGCATGATTACATCTTTTAAACTCCATTAGCTTTCAAGACCTGTCTCCTAACCAGTTGCATACAAAGCGTCTTGGCTGGTGGTCATGCGTCGCACCGTCTAAAATTGCGGATTCTTCGATAATGGCAATCCAAACAGTGACTGTGTGCGCCCTAAACGAAGTCGGGCACCTAGCTTCAACCTGGCCCTTATATGGGAGGTTTCGGAACCCAGGATTACGAATTCGTCCAATCAGCAACGGTTTCACGTGCCCAAGGATGTTCTGTCTGTCACGCTGACAGTGGGACGCATGTGGTTTGCTAGTAGCTCTCCGTGTTGATCTACCTGAACTGCTGCATGCTGTATTTAAAGGGCTTCCTAATGCTCTTATATTCAGCAAATCCTCTGCTGCACAGCAGAACTCTGAAGTTATGGATTTTATTCCGAAAATAGAAAAAAGTGCCATTTTTGAAGCGAAGAATGACAGGGATATTTAAGTAGTGAGCTTTGAGCTATGAGCCACTACACGTTCTGTTTCTGCTTTCCGTCAAGTTCCCGCAGCTGTGCTTCCACCACTAACATAAGCTCCTTTGCAGCACCTTTTCCTGCCCAGCAAGTCAGCGTGATCCAATCAGAAGAACGAAACTTGAGCCCTGCAGGTCCAAAGGCATTCGAGGCCTTCAGGTGCCAAGACAATTCACGTGACAAAAGCATTGCTTTGCCATCCAGCCCAGAAGCCGTTGGAAGTACGCACGCGATAGTCACGGAGCCTCAGCGGGTGATTCTGCGGAGCATCAGCATCAGCGGCAACACGCCAAGAGATGACAACTGCTCAAGCACAGCTGCCACCATCGGCGCGGTCACCACCGCACAGGGCTTGCCCGCGCCTGCTGCCGTCCCTGCCTCCGGCTGCGCGTCACCGCCTTTGACGGGGACTCCCTCCTCTTCGACCCAGCAAACTCCCTCTGGTCACGCCTTCAATCCACAACTCCTGTCCCCGGACGCCTGTGCTGCTGCTGCTGCTGCTGCTGCTGCTGCTGCTGCTGCTGCTGTGGACACTGGCGGCCCCAGCTCCGGTGCGACAATGGGTGGTAAAGTCGGGCTTTTCGAGCTGGCCCACGGCCTGGACGTTCTCAACACCGAAGAAGAGTTACCTCTGGATCTCACGGCCGCCGGCGCCACTGCATTACTATGGCCTGACAGCCAGGCAGCCGCATCTGCGGGCGGCAGTGGCAATTGCAGTGGCAACCCGGCATCCTTGTCTTCGACGGCCTGCAGCACCTTCGACGAGCGCCTTGCAAATAGCCTGCAGCCTTTAGACGGACCTCTTCCTCGCAACGCTGCAGTGCAGCGCCACTACCTCGGGAACGAACGGACCACGGGGGACGTCAGCGATGGGGCGAGGGAGCGCAAAGCGCTTCCTGCGGCGCCAGCGGCGCCTGCATCACAACAGCGCGGGCTGCTTCTGAACCTGTCCCAGATCCGGAGCCGTGTCCAAGAGCTGCGGGTGCTGCAAATAAGGCCCGGCGCTGCATTGCTAAGTGGTAAGTAACATATCATTACACAATCGAAGAAGCCAAGGGTTGTTGTGAAGAATAAGGACGCGAAGGAGAAGAAGAAGACGAAGCAGCATTGTGGGTGTGAAGGGACGGAAGGGAGCGCTAGGGAGGCCGACAGTGGTGGGGGCCCCGACAGAGCTCACTACCCGACAGAGCTGCAGCATTTAATAGCCCGTGGCCGCGTCCATGATACGTAATACGTGTAGCAACCAGATAGGGTCGGTGCTTATGGGAAGCCAACCCGATGCACTTCATTTGTACCCGCATGGGACATTGCCATCACTGCCGGCAGTTGCGCTTCTGCAGTTGTCCTCACGCACACGGCGCCGTCCTCCCTAACCCCTAGCACGTCCTCCTCCGCGATTTGATTCTTTTGTTGGTTTATTTATTTAATGCCCCTAAATAATCCATTTTCTTACTGCATACTAAACGTTCGTCGTTCCTAGTTCCGCCGCCGTTCCTCTGCGTTATGCTGCACCGTGTTGTACAGGGAGATCCAGCGTCAGCGGTCAGCCCGTGGTCGCCCGCTTCGAGCGCGGCTGGCCCGCCTCGCTGCTCGCGCCGCAGGTCCTGACTTCCCTGCACGACGGGCGCTGGCGGAGCCATCCTCACGTCGTGTTGTTGCTGGAGGTCCACGCCGTCGCGCTGCCAGCGCAGGTTCTGGATAATTGCGTGCGGCCCACAGCGCAGGCAGCTGCTGTTGCTGCTTCATCGTTGCGGCTGTGCAGCGATGGCGGCGGCGTCAGCGGCGGCGGCGTCGGCAACGCCGATGGTAATGCGGCTTTCTGGGAGTCCGTTGATAAGGACCTGACCACGGCCATACTTGCGTTGCAGCAGGCGGAGGCTGTACGCGGTGCGAGCACCTGCGGGTCGGCCTTCATCGGCAGCACTCTGGCCAGCAGCCCCACCACGGGCAGCGGCAAGCTCTCCCGTGTGCTGGGTGGTATGCCTGTGCAGTTGCGCGGTGCGGTGAGCTCCCCATGGGGCAATGGAAGCGACGGAGGCGACTGCGGTGGCGGCAAGCCGCAGGCGCTGCAGCCGTCAGCAGCAGGGTTGGCCGCAGCATTACCGCCGTCGCGAGCCTCTCTGCAGCAGCAGCTGACCGGCGGTGCCGCTGACGTGGCGCTTGTGACGTTATCCGTCATGGAGCTTTGCGACGGCGGAAACCTGTACGACAAGATCAGATGCGGGGCCTTCAAGTGCTGCCTCCCGCACGTGCCAGACGGCGGCAATGGTGGCGGCGGTGCAAGAAGGAGCCGTCGCCGCGACCTGCGCTGGTTCAGCGATGCCCAGTTCCTGCGCCGCTTGGACTGCTTCATCGCAACGGCGCGGCACATTGCGCTTGGTCTGCAATTCCTGCATGTCGTGTGTCGCATGCCACACGGCGATTTGGTCAGCCGAAACGTGCTGCTGCAGCGCGGGGTGGTGAATGACGTAGGCGTCGACTGTGCAACTGGATTCGTGGCCAAGCTGGCTGGCTACGGTAGATTAGCAGCCGCAGCGGCGGCGGCAGCGTCCACGGCCTTGGGAGGCGCTGAAGGGTCCTATGCCGCCTCAGCCGCGGCCATAGAGTCATCAGCTACTGCTGCAGTAGGTATTGCACCACCCGACGTGTCCACCACATCTCTCAGCCGGTTTAATTCAGTGCACGTGGGACTGTGGCGGGATGTGCAGTCGCTGGCGCCGGAGCGACTGCGGGAGCCTCATGCGCCTCCAACATTCGAAGCTGATGTGTATGCATACGGTGTCCTCCTGTACGAGATGGCGATTGGCGAGTCGCCGTGGGCTGCTATGCTGCCAGGTGAGCCCCCCGCGGCGGCTGTGGGTTGGGCTGGGCTGCCGGCTCAGTGAAGGTGGCGTTGGGGCTGGGGGTGAATGGGCTCCGCGCGGTAGCTAGGTCCGTGGTTCGTTTCGTGGTGGATTCCGGTGGGTCGGGGTGCGGTCGGGGTTGTCTCAGGGTGTGTTCTACACAGCCACCGTCCATTCAGCTCACCACCAGTTGCACACCACGTACCTGAGAAGTACCACAACTCGGAAGTCAATCGCCAACGCATTCCTTCTTGTGAACTTATCGCTTCTTGCACCCCCATGTGTCCCTCTCTACACACAGCTTGCGTGGCAGTGGGCGTCGCGACGGGGGAGCTTCGGATCCAGTGGCCCCATCCACAGCCTGGGTCCGGAAAATCCAGCAGCGCCGCCGGTGCTGCGCCGCCTCTGTGCATAACTGCCCTTATGGAGCGTTGCACCTCCCCAGTTCCGGAGGACCGGCCCAATGTTGAGCAAATCCTAGCTGCGCTGGATGGGGTGGAGCAGGAGTTGTGCAGCTGCCGCGACCTTGCGGGGGCGCTACAGGAGCAGCGCCGCAGCCGACGGCTTGCGCAAATATTCTGCGACTCCTCCCTATCATCATCCTTCTCCTCCTCCTCCACCTCGCGCTCTTGCGCTGCCGGTAACGACAGCAACAGCGGCGGCAGCAGCTTTATTGATGCGGCGTTATCCCCCTGATGGTGTGAGCATGTTCCGCTGCATGAGGACGGAGAGTTGTGCGCAGCAGGTATAGGGCAGGAGCAGCGCATGGAGGTAGGGAACTGGGGGTTCCTGCGTGAGGAGATGGATGGATGCGTGTCCCGCGGCGTGGAAGGTGGCTGGCCTGGTGCGTGAGGTGTGAAGCGTGGCAAGCGCAGATCGGCCGCCCAAGTTCAGCGATTGCTTTATTACATGCTCTCCAACGGTTTGTGGTGCGGTGTGATATCGAAATGGTAGTTACAGCCTTGGATCGATAGTAAACGGATTAATGTTAACTGAATGAACAGCAGGTGTGTGCGCGTCGGCCGGGAATAAATGAAAAAAACCGACACCATTCTCTCACCGTTCTCGTCCATCCCCGTTCTCAGGAAGACGGCATCGCTGGACGCGGCGTTATTTTTGTGAGAGGCTTTAGGTGTAGTGGAAAGCTCTCTTTAGATGTGCGCAGGAAATTGATGGCTGCAGGACGTGTTGATGACAGCTAGGGTGGCTGGAGGACCTGGGCAAGGCGATTGTTTCCAGTGCCCGTTCAGTGCACCTCCTTGTACCATTATGAATCATACGGCTGAGGAGCGCCTTGGTGTTTGATTACTAGTAGGCAAAAGCGTTTTGCTTGTGGCTTTTGGCATGTTTGCAAATACAGCATAGCACAAGCAAACCATGGGGAGTGGAAAGGGGGCTCCCGCGGCAGTGGCGGCGCCAGGAGCAGTTGTGCGGTTTTTGCGGTTAGGACGAGACAACCAACGGTGCAGCAGGCAGCAGGCTTCTGGGGAGCCCCTATTGGTCTCCAGCTGCCTCGTGACCTGGAGGAGTTGAGGAAGAGTTTTCTGTGTACCTGAAAGGTTCTGAAGAAAGTAATATTTACATCATCTAACCCCTGGTCCATAAGATCTGATGATAAGAGGGTTTCTTAACGCCACGCTTCAATAGTGAGAAGTGTGAGTGGGACGTTGCCTTTGTTTCGTAGCCAAAGCCAACGGCTATACATTGACTGGCTTGGCGGGGAAGTGGAAGCAGGCCGCCGAGGGAAGGGGGGGGGCCAAGGTATACGTCTGCCCGCCAGGTGCACGCAGCGCCGTTGTACCTGGGCATGTGGTAGACCACTTCAGGATCTCGCTGTTCGAAACGAGTATCGAAGAATGTCCAATAGAGTTATCTCAGGCAAGCTCCTGATGTGCGGGAGATTAGGCTGCCGCTGCTTGGATGAGATGCGATGTGCTTATGCAAAGGTATGTGGATGGTGAGTTGAAGCGCTATCACACGGCGTGTATGTATGTGCATGTGTTTTTTATTAAGCTGAACGGCGATAGGAGAGCAGCCCGAAGTGGGAGCACGAATAACTTTACCGATTTGAGCTCAGTAGTCCAATGACGTGTAAACTGTAGACATAGATTGGTTTTCCAAGATGTTGAACAGAAGCGTGATATCAAGGCCCTGCGCATGTGTGTAAATGTGTGTATATCTGTGAACGTGTATGTGCACGTTTGTGTTTTTATGAACTTAGCCGTGATGTGTGTGTAGATGTACGTTGTGTTGACGTGCGTTCGCACCGCGCACGCGCATTTTGTACTGGTCGTACTCGGGCACCAGTGCCCTTCCCTTTGTGAGGGTAGGCAGGGTAGGAATGGGTGGTATGAGAGGTAAGGGATGGCGGGAATGTGATATTAACTACAGCTGTCTAGCAGTCTATAACCTCAGTTTTTTAAAACTATAATTTGAATACGCGTGCGTGAGGTATCTGTGTAATTTCAGATGCTCCTAAAGTGTGGTAGCCAAACAGATATCAAACTGTTTTTTGTGAATATCGTATCCCCACCTGGACATCCGGGCACTAAAGCGGTGTCTGCCCCGAGGCCTGTATTTATCTCGACATGGAGAAAGAGGATATAAATGCCAATCATAAGCATACGATCCAACGAAATGGGAAAGGCTGGCTTCTTTAACCAGTACGGCACGTCGTACTGGCCTTGCTCGTATTATTAGTTTACACGCTTAAGTGTTTGTACCTTTATTGTAAGGCTTGGCGGCTGTAGCACAGTCGTTGTGATAAGGGATTTTGAAGGAATGCTGTTTATCTGTTGATCTGATACAGTCTACGAGACGCTTGGGCCATAGCAACGCTTCACAAGAAGAGGATCCTCATCCTCATCCGGCGCAGTGCCTCACAAAAGGTGGTTGCGGTCCGCGACAGGTGGATGCGAAGTGCCGGAGCTTGGTTTCCCCTTTGGTTTACTCTTTGGTGTATGGGTCAATTAGGGTTTATTATTGTATAGGTCGAGTTGGATCTTGGCACCATATCAACATGGTGCCATGTACGAGAAGACCCGGGGGGCCAGCAAGGCTCCGTACGCACGATGGATGAGGCGCATGTAACGTGCCGATAAGCATTACATGCCATTTGGAGCAGCCAATCATCACCACCATCATCACCACCACCATCATCACCATCATCATCATCATCACCCGCAGCAGCAGCAGCAGCAGCTTGGTTCTGAAATGCGTTTTTCTACCGCTATGTGTGAACGAGAAGGCTGCGCAGCCCGGCGGCCACCGCAAAAGACCGTCCAGCATTTTTCACAGAATGTACCGCAAACACGGGTGTCTCTCCTGAAAATTTCCTTAGATGTGGTATCAGCTTCCTCTGTTAGTCAGCTTCCTCTCGCCATCCATAGGTACAACTCAAGTGTGCTTTAAAGCCAACTCTTGCCGCCTGCAGTGACTGCCAGGGGGCTGCATCCTTTCCCGCCCACCCGCAAGCTGCTGCTGCTGCTGCCGCCATACCTCTACTGACACTCTACTGCTGGTCGCCTCGTGCACCACATTTGGTACTTTAGAGGATAGCCGAGCTGCGAGCGAGATGTCGTGACGTCATGTGGCACAGAGAGAAAAGTGTAATGATCAGTAGCGAGCTTCCCAAGGGAGAAAAGCCCACATTGCCGAGGTGCCGCTATTCACGAGTGATGCTATACCAGCCATGCTCTGTGGCACTGAGCACGTTGTGGCACTTGTGCATTTGTAATTGCCTTGGGGGAAGATCCAGGACAGATCCAGAAGGGACCCCGTTGCAGACAAGTGAAGACGTCCTTCTCGCGGGCTCCATCTATCCATCCGTCCATCCGGGGGCTACACGCGAATGGCTCGTTTGCGCTCGGCCTCCAGTGCCGCAGCCTCGCTCTTCTTGAAGGCGATGAAGTCGGAATAGGGCTTGGGGTGGTGCGACCAGCAGGCCTTGGAGAAGAAGTCCTGCGGCCCGGCCAGTTGAGAGTAGAGACGGAGGTGACGTCAGATATTCGGACCACGCATTTCTTCCTGGGTCTTTGAGTTTATTGTAGATCCAGAATCCTAAGTACCCACTAGAGGATAAGGGTCCGCCTAATCTGTTGCACCTTGCAAGACACATCCTTACGCTATGCTTGTCGAAATTTGCCGTGTGTACGCCGTACCATGTGTACAGCCATACTCTGCCGTGTCTCGATGGATATGCACTGCTTCTCTGAGAATGGACCTTGCAGAGACGACGCAATGACAGCGTTAAGGCTTCAGCATAAACCATGTAGGACATTTAGCTTCCCGTGCCATGGTCGCCTGCCTTGCCTTTGCGCTTTCAACACCTATTTGACTGTACCGCTGTGTAACGGCACCGTACACACCTTGACTTTCGGTACGTGCTCCTGTACCAGCACTTTTCCACGCTCCTTGGCGGCGCCGTGCTGCAGTTTTCCAATTCAATTCAATCACAAGTCACATAGCAAGGGACTTAAGGGGTATAACAACAAATGAGATGCGCATGGGGAACTTTAGAGGAGGAGGGGGATTTGGGTGTTCAGCAGGCCTCCATGCATTTTGTGCAGGCATGAGGAGACGTTGGCGAGCCAGCCAGTGGAACCTTAACTTGCCGTTGAATACGTGCATAGCTGCGCATGCTGAAGCCGCGGTGTGATGCCCACATGCTGCGCAGGAAAACACGTGCTTTGGAGGCGCTGGACTGACCCTCCGAAAAAAAGCACGGCCATTACGTCTTTAGGGCTGACTCCCGCATGCTGCAAATCTCTCGCACCCTGTTGCCTCAGTCCCATGGAGCCGGACCCTCTAGCCGCTACACCACATCAAACGGGACAGAGCGGCTCCACCACAACACAACATCCAGCCGTAATCACCCGCCCTCCACTGCGCACGTCACCCTCACAGCCCCCAGACGCCCCCCAGACAGTCATCCTTACTCGCTCTAGGAGCTCCATGACGGCTGTTTGGCCCATATTGCGGGCCCAGTGCCAAGGCCGGTCGCCCGCGTTGTTGGAGGCGTTCACCTTAGCTCCCAGCCGCAGCAGCAGCGCCACACCCTCCTCCCAGCCCTCGAACGCCGCGTTGTGCAGCGGAGTGTTGCCGGCGGCTTCCACCTCGTTGACGTCGGCGCCCTCACCCACCACTAAGCGCTCCACAACTTCACGCAAGGCAACAACATTGATTGCCGAAGCAGGAGAGGGTTTTAAGGGGAGTCCTACGTTTGGTTTTAGAACTTTGGAGGCTTTTAGGGTTTGAGGATTTACTTAAGGTGGAGAGGAAGGTAAGGAAACGCAAAAAGGTTGGGGCAACAGGGTGGGGAGGCAGTGGTGGCTAGGAGGCCGTTCTGCGAGACCGCTGCCACATCCTAGGAAGAGCTGTGTCCTATAGCTGAACTGGGGCCGCTTCACAGGGAAGCGCAGGCCAGTGCATGTGCTGGCTTGGCAGAGGTATAAATGATGACATGAAAAGCCAATCAGCCAATCAACGAAAGGCCGCCTAGTCATTGGCGCTTCCATACACTGCTCCGAAAGCCTGCATGCCTTGAAAAAGCCTAGCCGTGCCTCTAACCACGGGGTATTCCTTTCCCCACGAACCACCACCCCCACCCCCACAGCGGATAAGAGGATCAATGGAAGGAACTAGGCGGCAACGGCAGGTGCTGGCGCTAATGGAAAAGTTAAGACCAGTAAGGATACTCTGTGGGCATGCTGCGAGACGTAGCTAGACAGAGTCCGTCCAGAAGGGCAACTGGGTTGTTCCCCAGGGCTAGGGAATCATGACCATGGGCGACGGGGTTTGGGTTGCAAGCAATGGCACACACTCACGTGCGGCGTTGCGGTTGCAGACCGCCCTGTGTACCCGCATGCCGCCCACCCGTCCGCAGCCACGGACACAGCCACCTCCGTCTTCCTTGACCCCCACGGGGCCCTGCCATGAAGGCAGGGATGCGTCGCTCACGCTTACCCACCAGTCCATCGGCTATAGGATGGAAGGAACGCGTTCAGGTTTTAGATGTGAGTGGTGGTGAACTTGGTTCGAGGATGAACCAGTAAGTCAACGGGGATTGTGAATACGAATTCATTTATGTTTCACGTATTCATGTAGTGAATGTAATCGCACGATCCCTTAAATCGGGAATGCCCGTTGATAGGCGTGTAACGTTCCCATAAGCAACTCGTTTGTCTTGGAGCGGCAACGCATCCAAGTACGGCCATGGACCGCATGCCATGTCACGCTCATAATGGCTGTATCTATAGTTACTATTCTATGCATAGTACACATGTATAGTGGGATGTGTGGCGTGACACTGTGCATCGGTGACCGCGTGCCTCGATTTGTGCGTCATCCTTGCGCAGGGGCCATGCTAATCTTCTCTGTATTTTTCCATTTTTAACATTTGTGCCAAAGCACCGCGTGCCATTTGTGCCAAAGCACCGCGTGCCTTCTGCTTGGCGGCAATTCAGCAGAGCGCACTTTCGGTTGTCTGTCATGCATCGCTTCAAAGTTCTGCCCACGGAGTATACTATGTAAGCATAGCGTGCATAATATAATTCATATCTTGGGATGGACATGATTCTAGCCGAAAGCTATATCCTGTATGCAAAGTAGAATCCTGCGTCGGTTGTTGGTTGCAGATCGAGACAAGGGATTCTGCAAAGCAGTTTCTTCAAATTTGTGTAAGAGTAATATCCAGCAGTCTATAAATAAATTTTTATGTGATTTTACGCTCAGCATACGGGTCGGTCAGCCATTTTGAAAGCTGCTGCCAGTTCCCACCAATTTTGTCTGTACTGGCATTACCACCAAAATAGCTACGATCCATAACGAGGCACCATAGGGGCATGTGAATTTTTATCCCATGGGGCCTCTGTAGTTTGGCTTCAGCGATGCAGGTCAAATTTGCGCATTACTTTGTGTTGACAGAAGTTTCTGTTTCCAACGCGAGCCCTTACCCCTCTGCCTCAATGCATCTATATAAACCGTTTTAGATATGCATGTATAAATGGACTTGGCGCCAGCGCTTAGCAGGGCAGGGCAGAAACATCGCCGCAACATGCAGCAGCTGTCGCTGCTCTTGTCACTGCAGCTGCTCCTGCTTTTCAGGATCGCCACCCTTCCGGGGTATTACACCCAGCTTAGCTCTCTTCGCCACCTACAAGCATCATTTGGCCTCGATCCCGCTACCTCAAACCAATCCCTACTTTTCGGCAGCCGCAGCCGCGGCTGGGTCGCGATCGGGCTCCTCCCTGAGCCCCTTGAACTCGTGACGGATAGCTTCAGCAATACCTACAACGCCGCAGGGCAGCCGCAGCGCTGTGACGAAAGCACCTTCTTGGCCGCTTCCATTCAGATGTTTGCGCTGCCTCGGTTGAGTCAGAGCTTCACGGTGATAGCCGTCCTGGAGCCGCCACGTCGCGAGGCGGGTTCTCTGCAGGGTGATCTAATGACGGTCGGCGGCCTCCGCGTGCATTGGGACCTGGTTTCTAGTGAGTACTCTTTGGACAACCCCATGCGCTGGCCAGTGCTGTGGCATGACGGGCAAACACACACAGACTTGCAAGCATGCCCATAAAACAGAGACCAACCTGCCATATAGACAGGGCATACAGACAAGCTAGCATCTCTATTTAGGTATGTGTTGCGCCGCAACTCGTTTTTTCGCAACATAGCAGGAGGCCGTCAACGTCAGGGCTGGTGGACGGGCCGCTTGTCTGGGTAGTTGCTTACTTCCGTTCACCTGTCCTGTCCATCGTAATGTTGAAGTCATTGTCTTCCTAAACTGGGGGGAGGTTACCAGTTCCAGTTATCGAGGAATAAAACAAGGAATGGGGAACAGGTGAAATTGTGCGCGTACACGTATGTGTGTATGTGTGAGGGAGAGACACAGAGAGAGAGAGAGAAAAAAGAGTGTAGGGGGTATGTATGTGTAAAGTGAGAGAAAGAGCGGACAGTTGACCCTTGGGGGAAGGTCGCGGCATGCGGCCCTGGGTACGCCTCGCGTACACTTCATCGTTGTGGACTGCTGTTCAAGCAGCTGGCAGCTTCCCTCCCACACATACATACACACACACACGCATACACAGAGGAGGAGACCGCACCTTCCTCCTGAGGAAGAAGGAAAGCCCGCCCCTACCTCGACCCCGTCCCGCTGGGCCCGCCCTGCCGTGTCGTCTGTCCCGTATCTTCTGCACTTCATACCGTACTCCAATTGTTGTTGCACCACGTGCCGTGATGTGCTGCGTACTTGTGTTGTGCCACCTGTGCAGACGTCATCCACCTGTTCGCATCCTGGAACGCCTCCGCCATAGCCGCCATCCCCTTACCAGGGCGATGGAATGCCAGCGGGTCCTGGCCCTTCATCACACTCTCGCTTAGCCGCAGGGCAGCTGACGGCGCGCTGGGGGTCTGCATCAACGGCGCACCGGCGGCCATTCAAGATGTGGGTGACTGAGGGGGGGACTCCGGGGGCGCCGATACCAAAACCCCACCACGACTTGTTTATGGGAAGAGCATGGGGTTCAGCCCACCGCCAGGGTGGCTCTACTTTCTGTCCTCCGTCATCGTTTTTCTACAGGGCGCTTGCTCTTGGGCTATGGCCTTCTTTCTGCTCGGGCCCCTGGAACCAGCGCAGGTCCGCAAGTCCCACACTGCCCAGCCTGCTCCCCGGACTCCGGGGAAGGGGTGTGAGATGCAACTCACCCATGGCAACAATCTGCACTCCATGCATCCCGTGATTCTCTCCCACTAGCAACGCAAGGAAAAACTACAGCCCCCTGTGTCTCTTCCTTTTCCCGTCGATGCCACAACGTAATGCGGTGTGCGTCCTTCAGCGTCTTCTTCTAATCAGCACCTGTCTGTGCGCGTGTGTTTAAAAGCTAAGAGGTTCGCTTCCTGCCCTCTCCTAGTCCAAAGGCAGACCTCAGCCAAGCGGCGCGTCAGAGAAAACGATACTCCAGTTCTAAATCCGCAATATAATCCGCAACTGGCTCCGTAAAGAGTCCCTCCGTTGTCTCAAGCAGGTCTGGCCTTCTTCCGGTTCTCGCAAGCTACCCGGCGGCTGGGTGGCGGGCAACCCGCTGGGCAACGGCTGGTCGCTATCGGCGGTCGACCGGCTGTACCTAGGTGACCCCAAGGCCGCCAACAGCCTGAACACCCGCCTACAGCAGCTATGGCTAGTCAATGATACGTGGAGCTGTACGGACGTTGAAGCAATGTTGTCGTACAGCAATGCGTCGGCTCCGCCGACGGCGCCAGCGGCTGCCGTCGCTTCCACGGCGGCGGCGGCGGTGGCAGTTACGAGGGCGCCGCCTGGGCTTGCGGCGCTGTCCTACCGGAACAGTTTGCCGGCAGTGACACGGCTGGATGTCACGGTGGCGAGTGGTGGCGGCACGGGGGCGGATGGAGAGGCGTTTGTCGGGGAGAACGTCACGGTGCTGGGAGAAGTGTACGATAGCGACGGCGACACGCTGCGAGTACGGCTTACCTGGTACGGCGTCCCCGCCAGGTGGGTGGCTGCGTTACGTACGGGATCATGTATACGCCGGTGCGCAGTCAGCTGTGCGGGTAATCACCACCTGGTGATGTGGGGGCCCGATAATCAACATATTCTTCAGATCACCGCGCCTACGGGATTGGATGGGCGGATGTTGTGAACGAACCGCTGACACGAGCACATCCCCTGACATTACTCCTACGTCATGATTGCTATCACAACAAACATATAGCTATTAAGATTTAAATCAACTACGGCTAATGACCAGTTCCAGCACTAGGAGCCCGGCTGTTCATTTAGCGGACGGGCGGGCTAGCTGCCAGGCAAAGCTCCCAACCATATGTAGTCCGTTGTCCTCCTTATGCTTGTCCCGCCAGCTGACAGGCATTCCTCCTTCCGTGGTGACAACCGCCGGCCTCTCGCCCTCCACTCGCAACTGCTTTACCTAACCCCCCGGTATCGCTGGTACCTGCTTCAATCGCCAGTGGTTCATCTTACCCCTCGGAGTGGCTCCGCCCCGCTTCCTTGCTTTCTCTACCCCTTCCCCCTGCGGGATACCCCCCCCACACACACACGTCCCCGCTGCCCGCCGCAGAGGTTGCCGAGAGGCTTCGTGCGGTGACGAGGGGCTCGAGGCCAGCGACACCGGAGGGAGGGTGCTGCTGTCGCAGACCGTCGCTTTCAAGGCAAGGCCAACCCCCTTCCCCCCCTCCTCCACAACCATAACATTTTTATCCATCGCAGTCTCCACCAGGAGCTTCTGCACGTCCGCCGCTACCCAACCCACGCACGCCCACCCTCCCACCGAGACCACTTACCTGCCCTCCGCATCCTCCTCCTCGACTTTCCCCCTCCCTGGCCCCCTCTCTGGCCCAACCCGCCCCGCGTCCTCGCTTCCGCCAGCTGCCGGGCCGCTACACAGTGCGGGTGGAGGCGAGCGACCTGAGCGGCGTGTCGGTAGCCAGGGACGTCCACATCCTCGTGCGCAAGCTGGGGGACACGACGAGACTCGCCCCGTGCTGCAGGTACCGCTGGGGCATGGGGACCCTTGGGGGCATGGGACCGCATGGCGGGAAGGGGGGGACTTGGGGGGTGAATAAAGCGGGTAGGTTACGGAGGGGAACCTGGGTTTCTGGAGGTGATGGTGATGATGTATGGGTGGGTGAGTGGGTGTGCAACTTGCACCGGTACGCTTTTTGATGATGCATGGCTGGCTGGATGGATGGGTGGATGGATGGGTGGGTGGGTGCATGGATAAGTGGGAGGGGGATTGTCACAATGTCTCTTGCACTGCTGGGTCGTACTTTATAGTCTGTTCTCATCGTCGTCGTCCTCGTCATCTTTGTCAGATTCGAGTGGCTGGGCCGGGCATGGCTGCCGGCCTCCATCTGGCCTATTTCCCACGTCCTAAACCTCCGCATTTCGGCACCGAGTGTGGGTGTGCGCGCTTCTCCCGACGCCTTCTTTCCCTTGCATCTGCTCCTCCTCCTACTTATACCTCATGCACGTGCTTACACCTCCTCCTCCTCCTCTGCTTAGGTCCACCGGCATGGTGATTGCTGGCCAGGCGGGTCGTCCCGTACACAGCTGGCGGTTCCGGGACGAGGTGGTGACCGGGTTGTCGAGCGGGGTCCTGGGCTGGCAGTCCGAGTACCTGGCGGCGGAGGACCTGGAGGCGGAACGGCTGTTCGACTTCGGAGTGCTGGCGCCACGACACGAACCAGGTAAGACTACGAAGGGGAGAGCGGGAGGGAGGAGGGGAGGAGGGTTACCCAATTTCAAAACGTGGTCCTGTGTATGATATATACCGTCGTGAAGGCGTGCTGCTCCCATTGGTATGATATCCGCCGCCACGCAGCCAAGAAGAACACAGCCCCCCAGCCCCCCTGCTCCCCGAATCTGGTTGGCCCCCCGGGGGAATCCCTTGCCCCGCATGGAGCGTTCACGCGTCTAACACCCCCCACCCGGATCCCCCCCTGCTCCACCTGCCCCCCACTTCCACTCTCTCATAGCCCTCCAACCCATGCACCCGTACACTCACTTACCATTAAGACCCCGGACAGGACCGGATGTCTGATACCCGGTTGCCTCGTTGCGGTTGGTTGGTCGGAAATTTTCGTTTTGTTGGTTGCGTTCCTCCCGAGTTGCTCCCGGCAGGTGGTCTCGAGCTGTTCCCCTGTGTGGACGCCTTCCTGGCGGGTCCGGGCTCCCCCCGGCTGCTGAGTCCGAGCTGGGGGGGACAGAGCTCGGTCAGCTGGGGACATGGCAAGAGGGTGCTGGTGGTGCCGCAGGTGGGTTAGAGGGGAGGGGATGGGAGGGGAGGGGAGGGCGGCGATACGTGCTCTTTCTATTGCTGTTGCTGTTGTCAGCTTTTAATGCGCCTTATGGTCTTTACCTCACCCCCCTCACCCATCCATCCATCCATCCGCCCTCTCACCCCTCCTCGCCCTTCACCCCCCCAGGGGTTCAGTTGGGGTCCCGCTGTGTCCGCAACCGCCAACCAGAGCTCCCGACCCGGTTGCGAGCCTCACTGGACCAACTGGGCCGCGGACTCGCCGTACAAGATGGAATCGGGATTCCTATCAAACGGGTGCGTGCGTAACCTTCCCTCCCTCCCTCCCCCCCTCCCTCCCTCCCTCCTACTCTTCCTCCCTCCATTGCGAAGACTCCTCCTTCGCAACTCGCAACTGGTTAGTTCTTGCCTCCTTACTTCCGGCGTATCCGTCTATCCTTGGCATCAGCTTCACTCGTTCACGTGGTCCGTCTTCCCCCTCCCCCCACCTTCCCACCCTCTCTCTCACCCAGGGGCTTTTCGCGCATGGGGGAGTCCACTTCTAATCCCGTTCCCCCGTCCCTGACTAGAAGATGAATCTCCCGCTTATTCCCTCCCGCCTCCGCGCCCAGGACCCGCACCTTCTGCACCTTCGCCTGCACCCCCTCGGGCACCCGCACACTTCAGCAGCTGGCGGGGCTGACCGACCGCCTGGCGGAGGCCCTGGTGGAGCTCAGCTACGGCCGACTGTCCATGAGCTGGGAGGTGGACGTCACGGACACGCTGCTACTGCCGCAGGTATACCGCGGGCGGACGGGGGGAGGAGGAAAGACCAGACAGAAGGGGGCCTGGCGGGACGGGTACTGCAGGAAGACCAGATAGAGGCTGTACGGCACCGTAGATCTGTGAGCTGGGCTGTGTCGGACTGCGTATTTGGATTGTGCAGCTGTTTTGTGTTTGTGTGTACTACGTAGTGTTCGGAGGAGGTGTCAAGCTTGGCGTTGAGATGTACGGCGTACGGCGCCAACAGGAGCGACTAACTCCACAAGATCTGAGACGCTCTCATTCCATCCGGGGATGTGTGGGAGGGAGGGAGGGGTGTGTGTGGGAGGAGGGCATTACCACCAGGTTGGGACCCAATCCAGCACTTCACCGCTGCCACCCCTCCTATAACCACCGACACAAACCCCCCAGCCCTCCTCGTCTTCTTGGCTACCGCCATATATTCCCTCACCATCAACACCATCGCCACCATCGCCACCATCAATTCCCTGAACAATCCCCATTGACAACCCCCTGACAACAGACCACCAGTTCGGACGCCTTCGGCTACAGCGACACCCCCGTGGGGCCCTTTCTCAGCGCGGCGGGGGTGGACCGGTCGGCCTACCACTCCGTAATGGTGCTGTCGCCCGCGCCGCCGCGGGACATCAACCCCGGGTTCACGGCCTGGTCGTCCGTGGCGGCCTCGACCCTGTTCGTGATGCGCTGCATGCCGCAGCTCTACTACCTGGTGCACGAGATGGGTCACCTGCTGGGGCTGCCGCACGCGGAGATGTGGAAGTGAGTGGCGGAGGCGGCCGCCGGCAGGGCCGGCCGGGGCTGGGGTGCGGGAGAGGAAACGAATAAGCGTGTATACATGTCTGTGTACGCGCATGTGGTTTAGACGAGGACGTGTACATGTGAACGGACATGTGTACGAACCGGTACGGCGACCGGAGGGGTTTTGCGGCTACACTCCAGCCTCTGTTTCTACCTCTGCCGCCATCCTTAAACCCCGCCACCTCTAACCCTGCATTCACCTCCTCCTTCACCTCCGCCTCGTCCTCAGGAATGACAACGCCACCACTGCGCCGTCGGATCCCGCAGGGCCCGGAACAACCGAGGACAACTACAGCGATAAGGTGTGTGTGCACGTGCGTATGCATGTATGTATGCATGTATGTATGTATGTATGTATGTATGTATGTATGTATGTATGTATGTATGTATGTATGTATGTATGTATGTATGTATGTATGTATGTATGTATGTATGTACTGTGGCGCGTGCCGAAATGAGGTTGCGGGGTGGAAGGCGCGGGGTGGACAGAGACAGAGACGGAGGTGTGGAAACTGAGCGAGGTGGAAGCACAAGGGGCGAGTGTCGGGAAGCTTGCTGTTGTCCACATGCATCTCCACATGTGGCTTCCCACCCTCTTGGAGTCCCGCTAGAAATGGCCATGTCTGGCCCCCACCCCCTTTCTTCAGCGCCAACCTCCACCCCCCCACCCTCAACCCCCCAATCGCCACTCCTCCCTCCTCCCCTCCCACCAGCTGGACATGATGGCGTGTTGCCGGGGGGACTACGGAGCTCAGGCCAGGTGGGACAGGGGACCTAAGGCGGGTAGGGTAGGGTCGGGCGGTGAGGCAGGAGAGGTGAGGCTAGGGGGGCGCTGTGTAGCCAAATCTCCAATGTCGGCATGCGGACTGAGGGCAATGCGGAACCCGGGGCACCGTCACGTGAGAAGCTGATGAGATGGGTGGGTCAATGGCGGTACGGCACTGTAGTACAGGCAGGGCGATTGCGGGGCCGGTCCTCCATTCAAACCCCCCATTTCCCCCCAGCTGCGATCATATCTATCTACAGTGCTTCACTCCCGGCCACGTAACCAGCACACGGAACCCCCGTCCAGCCTCATCCCACAGGTATCTTAAATCTCCTCCCCTAAATCTCCCGGCTCTCCGGCTGTCCCCGCCCCCGCAGGATCTCTTTAGGCTGGATGCCGTTCCCGGAGAGACAGCACATACCCCTGCCACCCTCCACCGACACCAACACCACTCCACCTTCCTCCCCACAGCCTCCCAACTCTACCTTCCCCACCTCCACTTCCTCTACCTCCGACCCCTCCGCCTCCGTCTGCGTCGCCGCAACCCCCACCGGCTGTTCGTACACTCTGTGGCCCGTGGACCGTTCCGAGTCACGTGGTCGTCTGAAGGCGCTCACTGTCCGGATTAGCGACTCGCAGCTGGTGGTGTTGTCCTTCAAGGCGCTGCCCTGGTGGCAGGACGTCCGGCTGGGTCGCGACCCATGGGACACTGCGGATCGGGAGAATCTTGTGCCGGACGAGATGCGTGCGCCCCTGAGCGGCCTCAGTGTGGAGTACATGCGCAAGATGGTCAACAGCAGCAAGGGTGGGAATAGCAACGGCGTGTGTGTGTGTGCGAAGGGGGGGAGAGGGGAGGGAGCAGGAAGGTTGGGAAAGGTTAGGAAGGGTTGGGGAAGCGTCGGCCACCCCACGCCACCAAACGGCGGGACATCACACCAAGAATCCCTGCATATAATGTTGAAAAAGTCCGTATGTCTGTCTGGTTTGTCGGTATGTCTATCTGGTCTGTCGGTATGTCTGTCTGTCAGTCTGTACTAGGAGGGAATACATCTTGCGTTGAACCCACTAGCGTCCATCGGTATGCAGTGTTGAACTATGCCTTCTTGTGGGTTTTAGGGTGTGAATTATGATGAGGGGGAGTACGTATTGGTTTGCTTAAATCCATATTAGTTGGTTGTTGCTATTCCGCGCGCACCCACTGCCTCGTCTGTTCCCCCAGGCTCCTCGCCGTCCTTCAGCAGTCGCGGTCTTCTGGACTTCAACGTGTTCTTCGGCGAGTGGCCCTCCGCGTTGCCGCCCGCACCCGCCAAGCTGCCGCCAAGCCCCGCCAAGAGCGCATTCGCGCTGCTGAAGGAGGGGCAGGCCTGGCTGCATGCGGCCACAGGGCTGATGGTGGTGGCGCAGCAGGAGGTAGAATGCGACGGACAGGTGCGCGTGCGTGTATGTGGATGGATGGATGGATGGATGGATGGATGGATGGATGGATGGATGGATGGATGGATGGATGGATGGATGGATGGATGGATGGATGGATGGATGGATGGATGGATGGATGGATGGATGGATGGATGGATGGATGGATGGATGGATGGATGGATGGATGGATGGATACAAGGTCGGATAGGGCCCACACGCGGGGTTTTTCAGTCATCTGGGGGCAGGGGACGTGCCAAGTGGCGGGTAGCCACAGCGTTGAGCGAGATCGGGAATACAAAGTGGAAACGAAATTCGGAATGAGGCGAGTAGGGGGTTGTCAAACATCTTCTCGCCACCCTCCAGCCAACTCCAAGCCCTAACCGTTCCAGGCCGAGGTACCCGTGTACAACTACTCGGTGCCCAACTTCTACGGCTTTCGCGGGGAGAACCCCGGGCTGGAGGGCTTCAGACGTTCCGACTACAGCGGCTACGCGGCTGGGCTGCGCTGCCTGCGAGTGGCGGTGCGGACGCAGGTGCCGCCGGAAGACAGGAAGCCAGGTACGTGGAAGTCGGGGCGGCGGAGGGGACCGGACCACACAGCTGCGGGAAAGGCTGGGCTGGGCTGGGCTGGGCTGGGCTGGGCTGGGCTGGGCTGGGCTGGGCTGGGCTGGGCTGGGCTGGGCTGGGCTGGGCTGGGCTGGGCTGGGCTGGGCTGGGCTGGGCTGGGCTGGGCTGGGCTGGGCTGGGCTGGGCTGGGCTGGGCTGGGCTGGGCTGGGCTGGGCTGGGCTGGGCTGGGCTGGGCTGGGCTGGGCTGGGCTGGGCTGGGCTGGGCTGGGCTGGGCTGGGCTGGGCTGGGCTGGGGGGAGGATGGGGGGAGGATGGGCTGGGCTGGGCTAGAGCCTGGTTTTGGAAGAGCCTGCATTGGTGGCCACTGACCTTGTCCTGGGTTGCCTTTCCCGTTCCTTTTGAGTGGCTGTGGTGATAGCCCTGAGCGGGCTCGGTTTGGAGGATGAGATGAGGAGGGGATGAGGTGCAGCAACCCACCACTTTCGCCCCTCTTGCCGCCCCTCTTGCCCGGGTTTCCCACCGGCCACTAAGTCCACTGCTTGCTCTGACCGAAACCCGCTTCCCTCCTCACCTCCTCACCACTACGGGAATGCCTGGCCCCTGGAGCAAACCCCTAGGCAAGCTGGCAGTGCGGCTTCGAGTGGTGGGCTCTGATACGAATCGCCCGTTGGACCTTCGCGGCTCGTGCGGCTTCCCATTGCTGCCGCGACTTCAGTTGGTGATGCCACCGGACTGGGAAGACGTGGAGGCCGCCGGTGCCGCCGGCGGCAGTGGCGGCCTACCGCCGGGCATCGCGACCGTTATATGGAAGGACCCCCGCAACACTACCTTTGCGTCGGGTACTCTGTTCGCCTCATTGCCGCCGTTCTCAGACGGCTGGGTGCGAGAAGCTTCCGCCGGTGATAGCCCGGCCTGCGTGTACAGCTGCGACCCGTTGTACCGCGTACGGATCGCGTCGTACAGTGGAGCTCAAACGCTGGTGTCAGTACGTGTCGTGCAGGTATCTCTCCGGTACATGCTCTTGTACGTGTCGTACAGGTATTACCAGCTGGACGTGATCACGACCGAGTCCGAGGTATTGTACGTCCCTGTCGTGGCGCCGTGGATTGGATCTGCCGTACTATCTCAGGGCAACAGTTCGGCGGCAGGCGTTGTTAACGGGGTCAACGGTGAGCCCAGGGGGTGTAGAGTGCGGTGGCGCTGCGAGGACCTCATAAACTTGTAATGCTGCCCGTTAAGAATCACAATTATTACCTCGTTCTTGTTACCTTATTACCTGCCGACTTGCTCTCCAGAGTGTGCTTTTGTGTGGCGGAATCAGTATTGGGCCTGCAATGGCTTGGAGTGTACTTCGTTGACCGGCGTGTTGGCTCGCGCAAAGTGCCAGTGGTGGTGTGTTTTCCTGGAGCGTTAAGGGGCTAGTGGGCTCCAAGGGCAGAGGCCCACGTCTCCATGTGGGGCAGCGAAGGGCGCCCATGTGCGGCATGTGGTCGCCCAACAGCGGCAGCCACGAACTCCTCCTCATCATCATCATCCTCATCCAGTTGTTCAGATGTTCGAAAACGTGTTCCGTTGAACAACAGGGTTTTGACGCGATGCCTTGGCGGCCTAGATGACGACTGCCCACTCCAGCAGGGCCCTCCTGCAACACGGCTACAGAGGCCCCCACGACGCAGCAGAAAGCTTTCTGACGTGAGTCCCTCTTGTCCCCCTGCCGCTGCCCCGGTCCCCACCCGTGTGCCGCTCCTCACTCTCGACGTCGTGGCCGTCAATGGCCACAGACCCATGGGACGTTGCCTGGGGCCTGCAGCTCCTAGGGGATGCAGCTGGCAGTCGCCGACTGGACGAGCAGCCCCTGGTCACGTGGGCGGCTGAACAGCTGCCGTACACCGCATGCAGCCGGCAGTTCACGCTCACGCTGTTGGTCAAGGTGGGGCAACGGGGTGGGTCCTCCAGGGCTGTGGGGACTACTGGGAGCCCCCAGTTGGGGTCTGCGAACTATGGGGTGCCTACTTCCGCCGCCTAAGTTGTGATTTGTTTGCTTTTTGGATATTGGACTGTGCGGCGGCTGCAAAGGAGTCCCCCTTTGGGTCACACGGCGTGATGTGCTGATCTGTGTAGCGCCTGTGCTGTCGTGTCGTTGCGATCCAAAGCTAGTACTTTGTCAGCAGCCTCACTTCCGACCCTTTCACAGCCGCTCTTATCACCATATCCTCGCAACCCATCTGGGCCCTATGACGATCCCACCTGGACCCTCTTTAACTACCTCCTCTTCCTTCTTCTCCTCTTCCTTGATAATCCCGACGAACTGGCTTATGACAAGTTCTACTCATTAGCTTTTGAAGGACAACCAATATTAAAATTAATTTATACCATTCCGAGGATAATGGTAGATTGTGGCCCTTCCCGCCACCATTCCGCCTACCTCCTCCTCCTCCTCCTTGCTAAGCCAAACCCCCCTTCCGTGCCTGCTTTCCCTTCGCTTGCCTTCCGTTGCAGCTTCGGAACCCCGTCGCACGAACCGGCAGATGGCCCCTGGCTGCGGTCCGGCTGGATTCAGCAGCAGCAGGCGGCAGTAGCACCACTAGCGGCGCCGCTTACGACGGCCCAACCCTGTGGGTGGTGTGGAACGCCAACACCAACATAGCCGCGACCTTCCCGACCGCAGCCTTCAGCAGCACCGACGTCAACGGCGTGGCGGCACCGCTGTCGCTGGCTGTGGCGCTGGACCCCCACCGTGAGGCCACCGTGGCCATGGCCTTGCCGCCGCTGGGGGTGAGTTGTCCAGGGCCATGTCCAGAGCCCCAGGGTCTCTTGTCACCGCCTGGCATGTAGGGGGGGTTAATAGCGCTTTGGGGGGGGGTAATAGCGGGGGAGCGGGGCAGCGCATCTGTCCCTCCCTCCCTCCCTCCCTCCCGTCCTCCCGTCCTCCTGCGCAACCTTCATTGCGAACACTCATAAGGACCGTTCGCGAAGGAGTCCCTGGCCTTGGTCTGCGGATTCATGGTCGTCTTCTTTCCTTTCTTGGCACCGCCCTCCTGCTTGAGGCGGCCCCCAACTCAGCTGCGCTGGTGCGAGCGCAGCACTGATACATGTGTGCCCCGTCCTTTCCCTGCCACACTATGCCTTCACCTTCGCCAATGCTAATGCACGATTAACTCTTTAATGGTGCCGTACAGGGCGAGCGGATGTACCACGTGGTGCTAGTGTACGACCAAGGCCGTATCGGCGTTTGGGTGGATGGTGGTGGTGGCTGGCCGTGGCGAGATGCGGCATGCGTGCCGCCGAGGGCGGGCGTGACGTATTGTAAGGCGTCTGATGGCGGCGGCGGCGGCGACGGCGGTGGCGCCGAAGCAGGTGGCGGTGGACCGCAACGCCCCGCAGCTCAGAGCGGTCCCCTGCAGGGCATCAGGTGAGAGCTTACGCTGACATGTGCGCCTGTGCGTTTGTATGTACGCCTGTATGTATTATATATATATTATACATATATATATTATATATATAATATATATATATATAAATACGTACATGTATGGTCGCCTACACATATGGCGACCACCTGAGCCGCGAAGAAGCCGCGAATGTCTACCGTGCATCATGTCAGTGTGTTCCCCACCGCATTCATGCCATATAATGGCACTTGCGAGCGGGTGGGCGCACCTGGCCGTCACTGGGGCCGCGTCGGTGCTGTGGCTCCAGCGCTCCAGCACGCCACCACATAACTCGCCACTTAGCCGCCCCGGAGGTTGGTAGTCCAGGACATCTCTGTTGTTGCTTCCTCGGTCTGCAACGCCGTTCGGCACGTTTTTACGGCCTCTTACACTCACATCACACTCGTACGAACATCAGCGGAAGGACTCATATAAGATTAACACGCGAACACGCATACATACACACATACATACACACGCACGCCCGTGTGCCAGTTCCTGTCCGCGGCTCAGCTCAGTAAAACACACACACACACACTCACGCACGCACGCACGCACGGCGTCCTGGCGGGCCCCTCCACCTTCCATCCAGCCTCCTGGGGGGATCCTCAGGTCTGTACGGCACCCTGCTGTCCGCGCGAGTGTACAACTACGCCCTGCCGCGAGCTGACCTGGCCGCCGAGGCCACCTGCCTGGGAGGGGGCCAACGGCAGCAGCAGCAGCAGAACTGCGCCGTGCGATTCGGCCTGCGGAACACTACAGCCGCAGCCACCGCATCAGCAGCGATGGCCTTGCGGCTGTCATCGGTTTCTCCTGCTGCCGCTGCCGACCGCGCAACGAGCAACAGCACATCCGCATCCGCGGCGGCTGCGGCGGCTGCAGTCCTGGGGCGGGCTCCTCCAGGCGCTGTGGCGCTGCCGGTGGCGGCGGCGCAGCGCTCTGGCTGGGACCTCCTGGCGATGGATGCCGCCATGACGGGGCCCTTCCCTCCGGGGTCCAGTCCTCCAAGAACAAGATATCGGCTGCAGGTGGAGCGGGGGGAAAGAGGGTGGGCTGTGGCCGGGCTGCGGTGCGGCGGCCCTGTGTGTGCATGTGTGTGTATGTGTACTTGCTGCCTGTCCCTTTCCGCGGTTGTTCCATTCTTCATGCAGAAGCCACACGAAACTTGCTTACCCGTCCTCACTTGCTCGTCCTTACCTTCCTGCATCCACGCCTGAACGGCTACTGGCCGCCGGCTACATCACGATTGACAGGTAGGAAATTGGTCCGCCTGCAGCGCCGCGTGCGGCGGCGGGATAACCCTTCGTCCCGTCGTCTGTCAGCGTGCGGCCAACCGCGGACCGTGGGGAGTCGGTCTGGACGACTGCCCACTGGCGGCGCTCCCGGAGCTCGTGGCGGTGTGCAACCCGCAGCCTTGCCCTACGTATGCTATTGCGCTGACCCAGGTGCCGGGGCCCAGCGAATGCCTGCAGCCTTCGGCGCCAGGCTGTGCAGCCGCGCCGGCGGCTATTTCGCCCATGCAGCAGCTACAGCCGACGTGCCTGCAGTCCGGTGGCGGGCAACTGCGCCTCAGCGCGTGCGTTGCGGTGATGGCAACGGCAGTGGCGGCCGACGGGCTGCCGGGTGGTCAATCTGCGGCAGTGGAGGCGGCGGGGGCGGCAGCGGGGGAGCTATCGGAAGTGGCGGCCGCCACGGCCGCCGTCGCGGCTCCGGGTCGCGATGCTCTGATGTCGTCTGGCATCTGGCAGGGTCTAACCCTACTGTTCAACGTTTCGCATCCAGTGCCACCTCCAGAGCAGCGCAGCGGCGACAACGCGGGTACGGCCGACGCCGGCTCAGTGCACCCGTCACCATTGTTTCTGCCGCCACCGCCATCGTCGCCGCTTCCACCGGCTGCGGCGCCTCCACAGTTGCTGAGCCTGCGGCAGGCGGTGCTGCAAGGGATGCTGCAGCGAACCTGTTACACTGCTGCAGGTGCTGGCGGTGGCGGCGCCAGCGGCGCCAGCCGTGGCAGTGATCTACCCTCATCGCTGCAGCCGCCGCAGCCGCCGCTGCCGCAAGCGGAGAACGCCAGCTGTACTGCGCATGCATCTGCTCTGACGTGGCGGTACGGCGCTTGGGGGCCATGCCAGGTAGATTGCATTACACCCGGCAGCAGCCGCAGCACCATCGGTGGTGCCCGCACCGTCGGCAGTGACGGGGTCCGCATGCGCTCGGCGACGTGCATCAGTACGGCAACTGGGGTCCAATTGGACGCAGCCGTGTGTACGGCAGGGTTGGGGGCTCCGCCATCGGCGCAGCTGCGGTCGCCGTGCGGCGGTCGGGTGTGCGGCGTGGCCGCCTGGCAGCTGGGCGCCTGGTCGTTATGCGACACACGGAGCTCAGTAATGGGCAATGGCTGGGCGACGCGATCCCCAATCTGTCTGGTGGCCCGCCCAGGTGCATGGGCTAATTGCGGCACGGAATCTCCGTCGCCGCCGTCATCACCGACGGCAGCGGCTTCGGGGACGATTGCAGGGTCGCCGTCGTCGTCGCCGGCGGCGGCGGCGGCGGCGGCGGGGGTGTCTTTTGGGCAGTTGGATCGATGGCCGCTGATTAAGTCGGGGCCCTGCATGACGAGCAGCAGCAGTGCCCCTGCGGCTGTACCGCCGGTGTTGTGCATGGTGCCCGGGCTGGCACGTGAGGAGGCGGCCTGCTTTGGCAATGGAGTCTGTACCTATGCTGGTGAGTGTGCCGTACCGTAGGGAGGTAGGCGGGTAGGTAGGGCTTCTCGGTAACCGAGCCCGAAACCCTAAGTCATTGGGTGGCTAATTGCAGAAATGTAGGTTGGTTGTGTGTGCGCAAGAGATGGGCGAGGACGCAACACGCCCAGCAGATCACGGAGCCACATACCACCACCACCACCACCACCACCACCCAGCAGTTCCCCTCAAGGGTAAAGACAGAGGAGGACAGCATGCTATCGGGGGAGATATGCATACAGGCACCGATGCGACCCCAGCTGGCACTGCTGTCCACAGGTCTTGCGACATGGGCACGGCGTTGCTCTAGGCCAATAGCGGCAGGTTATAGTTGTTTGCGACACACACACATACAGACACGCACATCGAAGATCGAGATCCTCATACACACATACATACCGGCCGTGTGTCGATACGCAGTCGTCTAACGATCTCCCCTGCCGCTTTGCACTCCCTGGACTTTCCTGTCCTCTAGGCACGTGAGCGGGGAAGTCAGCCTGCCCGGCATACTGTTCCTAAAAGCTGTCAGCCCCATCCCCCATTTGACCTCACGCTCCCTCCCTCAAGCGCAATCCCCGCCCCGTCCCGCCGCTTCCTTTCCATTTCCCCACCGCCAAGGCTGTATCTGCAACCCCGGCTATGCGGGGCAACTGTGTGAAGTGTTCCGGGGCTTCGAGACGCCGCCATCCCCATCCCCACCCCCACCCCCATCACCACCGCGACCGCTACCTCCACCTACACACTCATACTCAGCAGCAGCACAGCTACCCCCCGCAGCCAACACCTCAGCCTCCACGCGCTCACCGCCCTCAACCCCACCCTCAACGCCACCCAGCACCGCACCGACCTCCAGCACCGCAACCAGCCGAGATGGTGAGGGCTGCCAGAGCGGCATTCTTGACCAGCGCGGCAGCTGCTGCCCCTCCGGGCACCTCGCGGCCGACGGCACGTGCTGTGCCGCGGCTACCGCCGCCGCCGAGGCCGGTGCTACGGCTAACGCCGGAGCGGGTGTCATCAGGGCCACTCTGGACGGCTCTGGGAGCTGCTGCTACGAGCATATCGATGCATGTGGCGTGTGTGGCGGGTCAGCGCGGGTGGTGGATGTGCAAGTGAGTGGGGGCCTGCGGCTTTCGGCTGCTGCAGCTGTGTCCACCCCCAGGGTCCTGCCCGCGGATAAAAGCTGCGGGCCGATGTGCAAGCACGGTGTGCATTGTGCTCTTAGATAGATACCCTTGGAAAAGGAGTATCACACATGCACATGTGTCTGTACGTCTGTACGTCTGTATGTCTGTACGTCTGTACGCTCCGAGCCGCATGGTGAATGGGCAGGTGGTGGTCCGCATCTCCAACACTTAGCCCTTCTTCATCCGGCTGTCTTTCCTCCCCATGCATTCGCGCAGGGTACCTGCTGCAGTACAGTGCTGGATCAGTTCGGTGTCTGTTGCATGTCAGGCCTCGTGGACGAGTGCGGTGTGTGTGATGGCGACGGTACCACCTGCGCGCTGCGGCTGCGGCTGCGGCTACAGCTGGCGGCGACAAGTACCTCTCCTGCTTGGCGCGCTGCTACTGCCCCCGCTAACATGGCAACCGCCTGGGAAGCAGCCGCTACCTCGGCCTCAGCTGCTTCCGAGGCCGACATCTTGACGCCTTCCGCTGCCGCTTTTCTGCAGCGCTTACTGCGCTTGTCTCTGGGGCCTCTTCAGGGCGGCCTTAACATCGCCCTCGTAGCTTCCTCCATCGTCACGGCGGACGAACCTGCTGTCCATCCTACGCTGCAGCCGTCACAGCAACAGCCGCCCTGGGTCGCCGTCACGTACGACATCACGTACATGGACAACTCGACGACGAACGACCCGATGGGCGAGGCTGCGGGTAGCGGCAATGAGACTGCGGGTGGCTGGCTCTGGCCGCTTGGGCCGTACAACTTCACGACGGCGGCTGTCGGCGTTCGGTTGGAGGGCTTGCGGGATGCGGTGCAGCAGCAACTTGGAAAGGAAGGGTCTTCTTCTCTTGCGCCATCTCCCGCGCCATTCGGCACGGGTACAAATGCAGCGTCTACTGCTGCTGCTGCTGCTACTGCTACTGCTGATACCGCTGCATTTAAGGCGGTCCCGGCTGCAGTCGGAGCCGAGTCGTCCGCCAGCGATAAATTGCTCGGGACCCCTACCGGCCAACAGCGCCTGCAGGAGCAGCAGCCCCAGCTCCAGCTCCAGCTCCAGCCACATGCGGAGATGCAGGAGTTGC